GGCTGGAGTAGAGTGGTGCACTCATAGCTCACTACAACCTTGAACTCCTGGGCTCAAACGATTCTCCCGTCTCAGCCTCCCAAGTAGCTGAGACTATAGACGCACAACACCACAACTGGCTAATTTTGTTTTTATTTTCTCTTTTGTAGAGATGGAGGTCCCACTGTCTTTCCCAGGCTGGTCTTGAACTCCAGGGCTCAAGCAACTCTCCCACCTTGGCGTCCCAAAGTGATGGGATTACACGCATGAGCCACTGTGCCCTGCCCCACACCTATACTTCCATGTCTTGTGTCTGGATTTTGGGGTTCAGAAAGCTCCTATGACATTTCCTCAGCCTACTCCTACCCATGAAAACGGGGCTTTTCCCAGTCTCCATATGACCGACCCAGCTCTGTTTCTTTTCCCCTTACCCTCTGGATCCTACACCAGCTATTCATTGCTTAGTCTGGACCTTACACCAGCTATTCATTGTTCATTCTGGATCTTGCACCAGCTATTCATTGCTCAGTCTGTATATTACACCAACTATTCATTGCTCCTTGTGTATTTACATTTTTGCTTGTTTGTTTCCTCTGCTGTATTCAACTTGAAATCATTCATGCAATTTTAGTTTGGAATTCAGTGCTGTGAGTTCCAGTCCGTTTAAGTGAGCTTCGGATATGTAATGGAAGTAGTTATTTTTCTTAAATGTACAAGAGTAAATTATTATTATTTATGTTTTTTTGCATAAATGATGCATGGAAAATCACTACATTTTACTTTTGTGAGTTGACTTATTTATTTGTGTTGATTTTGATATTCCCAAATCTGAAAATTTTTTCAGAATGCATAATAACACACAGAGTATGGTGATCTTTCATTGACAAGTTTTTATATATGATTAGAGTATCTTTTCAAGATTCTTAATCTGCCTTTTTTTTTAATATAGGGTCTCACTCTGTTACCCAGGCTGGAGTACAGTGGCACAATCCTAGCTCACTGCAGTCTCAATTTCCTGGGCTCAAGTGATTCTCCCACCTCAGATCCTGAGTAGCTGGTACTACAGGCATGCACCACCACATCCATCTATTTTTTAATTTTTTAAATTTTTTTGTGGAGATGGGGTCTCACTCTGTTGTCCAGGCTGCTCTTGGCCTCCTGGCTTCAAGTGATCCTCCTGCCTCAGCCTCCCAAAACATTGGGATTAAAGGTTTGAGCCACTGAAACTGGCCTACAATTTGAATACTACTGTACGCTTTACATTTTGCTGTCAGGTATTTTTTTTTTTCCTCTCTACAATAATGTATTGTAGATCAGGTATTGTTTTATTTGAACCTCACAGGAAAGCTGAGGTGAGGGTCACAGGCAAGGAGTCGGACCACTGGAGTGGTTGCAGCATTAAATGGAGAGTAAAGCAGCAAAGGCTGGAAACCTCATCCACTTCTCATGAACTTCTCACTGCCCGGAGTGACTGATGTCCTTACATAACTGCAGCCAGTTCACCAGCTGCATGATTGACAGTGGCTTAATTGACAATTGCCAAAACCTGGAAACAGCCCAAATGTCCTTTGCCTAGGGAATGGAAAACCAAATTGTGGCCTATCCATCCCATGAAATACTTTACTGCAGTAAAAAGGAATGAGCTACTGATCTGAATCTCACATGCATCGTATGAAGTGAGCGGACTCGCTCACCAAAGGCTGCACACTGTTTATGTGACACTGTGGAAAAGACAGTGCTTTAGCAGGTGGAGAAAGTGGGGCTGCGGGTGGGGACAGAGGCTGCACAGGGAACGTGTGCAGCTGATGCAGGTGCTCTGTGTCTTGGTTGTGGTGGTGGGTAGGTAGCTATATGCTTGTAAGTGCTCACAGGCCTGTGCATGAAAAAGGTGTGAATATTTATTTTGTTGTGCATATTTAAGGTGTATAACATGGCGGTTTGATATACATAGTGAAATGATTGCTGCAGTCAAGCAAACTAATATGAGTTAACATAGCCACCATCTCACATAATAATATTTATTGTGTGTGGTGAAAACATCTTAAATCTCTCTTAACAGATTTCAGGTTTATAATATTTTTAACTGTTGTTCCCACACTGTTTGTTAGATCTCTCGGCTTATTTATCCTACATAACCGAAATTTTGTACCTTTGACTGTCATTTTATTTCCTTTACCCCTGGTAACTCTCTGTTTCTATATATTCAACTTTATTTTTTTTTGAGACAGGGTCTCGGTCTGTCGCTCAGGCTGGAGTGCAGTACTGTGATCTCGGCTCACTGCAGCCTCAACCTCCCAGACTCAAGCAATCCTCCCACCTCAGCCTCCCAGCCTCCCAAGTACCTGGGGTGACAGGTGCACACCACTGCACCCGGCTTCCTTCCCTCCCTCCCTCCCTCCCTTCCTCTTTCTTCCTTTCCTTCTCTTTCTTTCTTTCTTTCTTTCTTTCTTTCTTTCTTTCTTTCTTTCTTTCTTTCTTTCTTTCTTTCTTTCTTTCTTTCTTTCTCTCTCTTTCTCTCTTTCGTTTCTTTCTTTCTTTTTCTTTCTTTCTTTCCTTTCTCTCTCTTTCTCTTTCTTTCTTTTCTTCCTTCTTTCTTTCTCTCCTTCCTTCCTTCCTTCCTTCCTTTCTCTCTCTCTCTTTCTTTTTCTTTCTTTCTCTTTCCTTCCTTCCTTCCTTTCTTTTCCTTCCCTCCTTCCCTTCCCTTCCCTTCCCTTCCCTTCCCTCCTTTCTTTTCCTTCCCTCCTTCCCTTCCCTTCCCTTCCCTTCCCTTCCCTTCCCTCCCTCCCCTCCCCTCCCCTCCCCTCCCCCTCCCCTCCCCTCCCCTCCCCTCCCCTCCCCCCCCTTCCCTTCCCTTCCCTTCCCATGAAGCCTCACTATGTTGCCCAGGCTGGTCTCTAGCTCTTGGGCTCAACTGATTCACCCACCTCAGCCTCCCAAAGTGCTGGGATTACAGGTGTGAGGCACCACTCCTGGCCTAACTTTTTTTTTTTTAAGATTCCACATATAAGTGAGATAATATAGTGTTTGTCTTTCTGTGCCTGGCTTGTTATGCTTTGTGTAATGTCCACCGGGTTCATTCATGTTGTGGCAAATGGCAGAGTCTCAATTTTTAATACTAACTAATATTGTATTGTGTATATATGCCCTAAACTCTTTATTTATTAATCTGTCAACAGACACCTGGGTTGTGTGCCTATCTGGACCATGGTGAATAATGCTGCTATGAACATAGGTGCACAGATGTCTTTGTGAGGTGGTGATTTTATTTCCTTTGGATATACACTCAGAAGAAGGATTACTGGGTCATATGGCAGTTCTATTTTTAATTTCTTTAGGAACCTCCTTATTGTTTTCCGCAGTGGCTGCCCCAATCTGCATTCTCAGCAGCAGTATGCAAGGATTCCCTGTTCTTCATGCCCTAGTCAACGTTTGTCTCTTGTTGTTTTGATAATAGCCATCCTAATAGGTTTGAGGTGGTACCTCATTGTGGGTTTGGTTTGCATATCCCTGATGATTAGTGATGTTGAGCACTTTTTTGTATACATGTTGGCCATTTTTGTTTCTTCTTTGGAGAAATGTCTATTCAGGTCATTTCTTCGTTTTAAAAATCAGATTATTTGTTTTATGCTATTGAGTTGTGTGAATTGCTTACATATTTTGGATATTAACTACTTATCTGATATATGGCTTAAAAATATTTTCTTCCAATTTGTTGGCTGCCTTTTCACTCTGTTGATTGTTTCTTTTGCTGTACAGGAGCTTTTTAGTTTGATGTATTCCCACTTATTTATCTTTACTTTTGTTCCTTTGCTTTTGGTGAGACATTAAAAATATCCATGCCAAGGCTAATATCAACAAGTTTTTCTCCTCTGTTTTCTATTTTTTATTTTTAGTTTTTAATTTGTTTAGAGATTAGGTCTCATTCTGTCACCCAGGCTGGAATGCAGTAGAGTCATTACAGCTCACTGTTACCTCAAATTCCTGGGCTCAAGTGATCTTCTTGTCTTGGCGTCCTGAGTAGCTGGGCTACAGGTGCACACCACCATGCCTGGATAAATTTGTTTTTATTTTGTAGAGACAAAGTCTCACTATGTTGCCCAGGCTGATCGTGAACTTCTGGCCTACTGTGATCCTCTTGCTTCAGCCTCCCAGAGTGCTGGGATTACAGGCATGAGCCACCCTGCCTGGCTTCTTCTCTGTAAAACTTCTAGGAGTTTTACAGTTTTAGATCTTATGTTTAGATCTTTAATCCATTTTGGGTTGGTATTTGTATGTGTCAGCTTTTATTCTTTTGCACGTGGAAATCCAGTTTTACCAAAACCTTTATCTTTTAAAATCTTATATTTTTCTTGATTTTTTTTCCTGTTTTTTTTTTTTTTTTTTTTCCACACTTGTATAGCCAACATCTTTATTGAAGAGATTGTCCTTTCCCCATTATGTCTTCTTGGTGACCTTGTCAAAGAATTAGTTGACTGCATATACTTGAGTTTATTTCTGTTCCATTGGTCTATGGGTCTGTTTTTATAAAGGCATGGATTTTTATTGCATATGAATTATACCTAAATTAACTTGACTAAACAAACAAAAACAAAAAGATCCCGGGTTCAGCCAATGAGCTCTTTTTTTTTTTTGAAATAGACTCTTGCTCTTGTCACCCAGGCTGGAGTACAGTGGCACGATCTCAGCTCACTGCAGCCTCCACCTCTCAGGTTCAAGTGATTCTCCTACCTCAGCTTCCTGAGTAGCTGGGATTACAGGTGCCGGCCACCATGCCCAGATATATATATATATATATATATATATATATATATATATATATATGTGTGTGTGTGTGTATATATATATATTTCTCTCTCTCTCTCTCTCTCTCTCTCATATATATATATATATATATATATATATATATATATATTTTGTACTTTTATTAGAGATGGGGTTTCGCCATGTTGGCCAGGCTGGTCTCGAACTCCTGACCTTGTGATCTGCCTGCCTTGGCCTCCCAAAGTGCTGGGATTATGGGCATGAGCCACTGCGCCCAGCCTGAGCTCCTTTCTTTTGGAGCATATTTGGTCTGCTTTTTCTCTAGCTTCAGCACCTGAAGTTTTTGCTGCTCCTGCCCCGGCCCCGGCCCTGAATGACACCTTCATCTGGTTCACGGAGACTCAGGTCTGCTCTCATGCCCCTGAGCAGGACTAGATGCCTCTCTCATCCTGTAGGGCATTCTCTCTGCAATTCTGTAGAAAGGTGGTGGTCATCGGAACCAACTGCTTGTTCTAGCTTCTCTGTGCCAGGCTCTGTTTTAAAGGCCTCACGTTTAGCCATTCACTCAGTGTTTTCTGACAGCCTTCTAGGATAGGTGCCATTATTTGGGCTGGTGTAGTGCTTGGTCAAATGCAGCATAATGAAGGTATCAAGGAGGGAACAATTCCAAGCAAAGCCACTTGTTCACCCATCCTGAGTCTAGGAGATTTGGAAGATCTAAAGAAGTAGCAGGCGATTATTGTCACCATTTTACAGATATAGGCACAGAGAGACCCAGTTATTTGCTGACATCCCTCCACTGAACTGGGCGCTCATCCTTGTCACTCACCCAGAGGCTGAGCGAGTGCCTCTCACCCACCAAGCTCTGTTGAACTTGTGCCTTTGCGGGGCTGTGATCCTGTGGCTGTCTCATGGAGCTGCAGAGTAGGTCTGTGTGTGTCTCTTCTCAGGCTACTGAAGGTGAGGCTTTGTGTGCATGCCTGGCACATACCAGCCATTCCATAAGTGTTAGTGGAACAGGTGAGTCAATAAGTCAGGGAGTAAAATTTGTGCTTTAAAAGTAGAACATGATGGAGAGAACTTGTACTGCCTTCCAGCCACCTTGCTGTGAGAGGACAGGCCATGGGCTCTGGAGTTTGAAGGCTGGGTCAGGTCATGCTCTGGATTCTTTACTTGCTCACATGGCATGTCCTTAGTTTCACTTCCCTCGCTGTCAGTGGAGCTGTTGCAGCGGGCAGTGTCAGAGGCAACATCCATTTAGCGCTGCCAATTCGACCCCATCCCCATCTTATACTGGCCTCCCACCCTGCTTCTGTGGGGTGCCTCAGAGGAGAGTAAGGTGAACCCAACTATGCAACCGAGACACGGCTTTGACAACACTGTTGATCCCGTTTGGAAAATCCAGCTATGTGAGTAACCGTTAGTTTCTCTGCCTCTGCTATGATGTAAGTGGGGACCACATCCTTCCTGCCCTTTCTGGGGCTGTGACTGCTATAAATTCATTGCATTTCCTCCCTAGCTGTTCCTGAGGCTGGCATCTGGGTAAGTCCAACTCCGTGGGGCAGGGTAGGTGACAGGACCAGGAAAGCAGTGGGGGAGGTTGTGTTGAGAGGGCAGAACTTGTCTTGGTTAATGCACTAGCAATTTCTTCTGCTAGCCTCCAAGTTTGTGCTTCAACAACATTTCTGGAATGTTCTTTTATCATCATTTGGGCTCTACGTGTGCAAGTGCATGTGTGTGTATGTGGTGGGGGAAAGGGGAGAGGACGGGGCAGCAAGCATAGTTTACACCCATGACCTCAGCAGATTTGCCCAGTATCCTTCCCAGGGGAGAAGATGGATGGGATACATAGAAGGAAACAAACCTCCTCAAAAACCAAAGGGCAGCAGCTATTGTGCTGGTGTTAGGGTGGAAGGAGCACAGAAGAAAGGCAGAATCCTGATGCGGATTGAAGGACTGATGGGGCAGGAGCTGGGAGGGTATGCAGAGCTCATAGGGCTGTCTGGAGAGCAGTCACCTCAGGATGCACAGGGCTGGGTTTGCGGGGCTCAGGAGGCGAGGGGTAGATAGGCAGGAATGGAGATGGGACGGGAAAGATGAGTGAGTCTGGGGCGTCTTGACATTGAACTGCAGTCACAGAAATTCCAATGTGGAGAGCTCCACTGTTTTCCAGGTTCTCTCCCTCCCTTGAGTGTTATTTATGGCTTTAGGTTGAGGTGCTTTGCCAAATACAGTGTAATCAAGGGATCAAGGCGGGAACAATTCCAAACAAAGCCAGCTTGTGTGTCCAGCCAGGCTCTAGGAGATATGGAAGATCTAAAGACACAGCAGGTGATTGCTAGTTTTTGTGGAACTCAAGGTCTAGTTGGGAAGACTGTGTTGGTGAGCGCTACAGTGAAATACCTGTGACAAATGCTGGGAAAGTGTGTCTTTTAGTCATCTGTTTTGTTGTCTTTGTCTTTGTCTGACTGAAACAAGGGATAGAAGACATGGTCTCACATCTCTGGTCAAAATCCTGGCTCTGTTCCTTCCTGGCTCCAAGCCCCTCGGCAGGCTTCTTAGTCCCCCTGAGACTCAGTTTATGCATCTATAAAATGGGGCTAGGGATAGATGCACCTCACAGAGCTCTGTGCAGGTTAGATGGGGAAAACCAGTGAGCGCCTAGCCTGTGGAAAGCTCTAAATTAATGTGAATTATAACGATAATTGCAGATTTTGCAAGGAGACATTAAATAGATGTATGTTTTTATTTATTTTATTTTATTTTTTGAGACGGAGTTTTGCTCTTATTGCCCAGGCTGGAGTGCAGTGGCGTGATCTTAGCTTATCGCAACTTCAGCCTCCCGGATTGAAGCGATTCTCCTGCCTCAGCCTCCCGAGTAGCTGGGATTATAGGTGCCTGGTACCATGCCCAGCTAATTTTTGTATTTTTAGTAGAGACAGGGTTTCTCCATGTTGGTCAGGCTGATCTCCAACTCCTGACCTCAGGTGATCCACCCACCTTGGCCTCCCAAAGTGCTGGGATTACAGGGATGCATGTTTTTATTATTCTCCGTTATGCACTCCCAGCTTCATATTACTTCAATCCACTGGTTGATAGAAGTGCAGTCAAAGACCGTCCCCTCCTCTGCAAGCTTTTATGTTCTCTCTCCTCTCTCCCTAGCCATGTCCTGCTCTGCTATCAACACAGTTACTCACCTCCTGGCCTTCTCCTTCTATTGTCTCTCATCCCTCTTCCCTCATGAAAACAGAAGCAAAGAGCTAGAGCCTTCAGTTTGGAGGAACTGAGAACATTCTCTTCTGCTTTCTCATTTTATAGATGAGGAAACTGAAGTGGAGGAATAGTGAAGAGTTTGTTCAATGTTGTAGCCCCGTAATCAACGGGACAAAAGTTTTCTTGCTAATGTGTCAAGATGGCATCATGAACTGGTTGTTCACCGTAAACTGTAATACAATCCTGTTTATGGACCTGTTTACATATTTTTCCCTCCATAGGGAAGCCTTTCTTCCATGGCTCAGAACACACTCCTGGATCGAGCCAACAGGAGAACTTTCTGGTAAGCATTTGGCTGATTTTTTTTTTTTTTGAGGTGGAGTCTCCCTGTGTCACCCAGGCTGGAGTGCAGTGGTGTGATCTTGGCTCACTGTAACCTCCACTTCCTGGGTTCAATCAGTTGTCCTACCTCAACTTCCTGAGTAGCTGGGATTACAGGCACCCACCACCACACCCAGCTAATTTTTGTATTTTTAGTAGAGACGCAGTTTTGCCATGTTGGCCAGGCTGGTTTTGAACTCCTCAGCTCAGGTGATCTGCCTACCTCGGCCTCCCAAAGTGCTGGGATTACAGATGTGAGCCACTGTGCCCGGCCTTGGCTAACTTTTCAAAATTAAAGATTATGACTTGTTACAGTCATGTGACATTTTTTTCTGTCTGTTTGCTGAGTTTTTGATAATTTATCTCTCTCAAAGTGGAGACTTTAAAAAAGACTCATCCGTATGCCGTGTTCACTGCCTGGTATCTTGGTGAGGACTGAAGCCTAAGGACCCTGAGAACAGCTGCAGATGAAGATGGCAAGCACCCGCTGCAAGCTGGCCAGGTACCTGGAGGACCTGGAGGATGTGGACTTGAAGAAATTTAAGATGCACTTAGAGGACTATCCTCCTCAGAAGGGCTGCATCTCCCTCCCGAGGGGTCAGACGGAGAAGGCAGACCATGTGGATCTAGCCACGCTAATGATTGACTTCAATGGGGAGGAGAAGGCGTGGGCCATGGCCGTGTGGATCTTTGCTGCCATCAACAGGAGAGACCTTTATGAGAAAGCAAAAAGAGATGAGCCGAAGTGGGGTGAGTGGAAGGAAGACTTTAAAAAAAATTGTGGCGAAGTGCACATCATGTACAATTTTCCACCTTAATTTTTTTTTTTTTTTGAGATGGAGTTGCTCTCGTTGCCCAGGCTGGAATGTGGTGGCGGCGTGATCTTGGCTCACCGCAACTTCCACCTCCCGGGTTCAAGCGATTCTCCTGCCTCAGCCTCCCATGTAGCTGGGACTACAGGCGTTGCGCCTCCACGCCCAGCTAATTTTGTATTTTTAATAGAGATGGGGTTTCTCCATGTTGCTCAGGCTGGTCTCAAACTCCCGACCTCAGGTGATCCGCCCGCCTCGGCCTCGCAAAATATTGGGATTATATGTGTGAGCCAATGCGCCTGGCCTTAATAATTTTTAAATGTACAGTTTAGTAGTGTTAGGTACACTCACATTGTGCAGCCAATCTCCAGAACTGTTTTCATCTTGCAAAACTAAAACTCCTCACCCATTGGACAGTAACTCCCCCTTGCCTCATTCTCCCAGCCCTGGTAACCACCTTTCTATTTGCCATCTCTGTGAATCTTACTACTCTGGGTACCTCATATAAGTGGAAACATACAGCATTTTTTCCTTTATGAGTAGTTGATTTCACTCAGCATAATGTCCTCAGGGTTCAACTATGTTGTATCATGTGTCAGAATTCCCTTCCTTCAAAAAGACTGTATAAATACTCCATGGTACGCATATACCAAATTTTGTTTAGTTATCTGTTGATGGACACCTGGATTACTTCTACCTTTTTGTTATTGTTAATGCTGTTATGAGTGTCGGTGCACAAATATCTCTTCAAGACCCTGCTTTGAATTCTTTGGGGTGTATACTGAGAAGTGAAATTTCTGAATCATATGGTAATTCTGTTTGATATTTTGAGGAACTGCTTTATTGTTTTAGATACCATCTGTGCCATTTCCCACCAATAGCACACAAGGGTTCCAATTTCTTCATATCCTAAGAACACATGTTATTTTTATTTATTTTTCCTTTTTTATAGTAGCCATTCTAATGAGTGTGAGGTGGTATCTCACTGTAGTTTTGATTTCCATTCCCCTAATGATCAGTGATGCTGAGCACCTTTTCATATGCTTGTTGGCCATTTATAGAGCTTCTTCAGAGAAAGTTCTGTTCAAGTTCTTTTCTCATTTTCAGATCAGGTTTGGTTTTTGTTGTTGTCTTGTAGGAGTTCTTCATATATTCTAGGTATTAACCCCATGTCAGATATATGATTTACAAATATTTTCTCCCATTCTGTGGGTTGTCTTTTCATTCTGTTAACTGTGTCCTTTGATGCACAGAAGTTAGTGTGTGTGTGTATGTGTGTGTGTATATATATATATATATATATATATTTTTTTTTTTTTAATAATTTCTTGGCCAAGCATGGTGGCTCATGCCTGTAATTCCAGCACTTTGTGAGGCTGAGGTGGGTGGATCACCTGAGGTCAGGAGTTCAACACCAGCCTGGCCAACATGGCAAAACCCCATCTGTACTAAAATACAAAAACAATTAGCCAGGCGTGGTGGTGGGAGCCTGTAATCCCAGCTACTCAGGAGGCTGGCCTGAGGTAGGAGAATCGCTTGAACCCGGGGAGTGGAGGTTGCAGTGAGCTGAGATTGCACCACTGCACTCCAGCCTGGGCTAAAGAGCAAGACTCCGTTTCAAAAAATAAAAATTTCTTGTATTGTCTTGGTTTCTTCCTCTTTTCCCCTCTCATGGTAGTGCTATGAGAAGGTGGAGGCAAACTGTTTGTTTTTTCTAACTCCTTTAAAAACCCAGTGCAGATTGTACCTACCCCCTGGGCACCTGCCATGATCAGTTCCTCTTTATCCGAATCTCGGCAGTGCCTGGACCTACCTCCAGTTCTCCATCCAGCTCCTCAGATCACATGTTTTGTCCAGTGTCTGCTGTGTGGTCAGCAGGCTTGGGCCTCTGCTTCCTGTGGCCCAGAGGGCAGCCTCTCTCCTCGAAGAACCGTGGAGTTTGTGGCAGAAGCTGTTCCTTTCACCATCACTTTGGGAATTGGAATGTGAAAGAAATTCTCTTAATCCCCATGTACACACTGAGGATAAGGTTCTTTCTTTTGTCTTGTGTCCTAGGCAAAGGCAGGGCTCAGAGAAGGGCAGGGTGTTGCAGGATGATGATGTGGAGCTGGTAGTGATGAGAAGGAGGAGTAACAATGAGTCAGTGGATAGGGAGACACACGTTAAGGCAGGCAGCAGTGTGGGTGTAATGACACCGGGGAAACAGACAGGCGTGTGCAGATCAGAAACCGACTTCCGCAGTGACTCTCACCTGTAGTCCCAGCTACTCAGGAGGCTAAGGCGGGAGGATCGCTTGAGCCCAGGAGTTCAAACCCGGCCTGAGCAACATAGTGTGAGACCTCATCTCTGAATAAATAAATAAAGCAATTATCATTGTGTCAGTACTTATATACTCACATACCCAAATGAAAGTGTCATAATCACAACTGTAGAAGTACTTTGCTAAGCAGTTTTTGTGGATTTTGTGGCACATTCAAGAACCCCATGAAATAGCTTCTGGTTTTATCCCTCCTGCAAGTGAATGAAGTGAAGCTGGAAGAGATTCTGACTGGCCCATGGCTTCTTTCTAGCCATACCCAGAGCTGGGGTAAAAAGCAGGGCATGTCTTTGATCAAAGCCCAGCTCTTAACCACTATACCATCTTAGCTTCCATGTCTGGATTTTGAGGCAGAGAAGTTATAACTAGGGTCAGAAGTTTGTTTGTTTGTTTCCTGGGGTGGGGTTAGGTTTCAGGTAATAGACTTTGGCTAACCTACTGTGATGGCTCATACCCGAGTCCCAGTTACTCAGGTGCTGAAGTAGGTGGATCACTTGAGCTCAGGAGTTCCAGGCTGGAGTGAGCTGTGACTGTGCCACTGCCCTCCAGCCTAGTGAACAAAGCAAGACTCTGTCTCTTAAAAAAAAAGATAAAAAGAATAAGGTTTTGGTTTTGGCTTAGATTGTTTGGATTTTGTTTTGTGACATGGTTACCAATACCTTTCTTTACTTTCAGAATAAGTAGACAGCTGTCAGACGTCTTTTATGGGCTGGGCACGGTAGCTCATGCCTGTAATCCCAGCACTTCAGGAGGCCAAGGTGGGAGGATTGCTTGAGCCCAAGAGTTTGAGACCAGCCTGGGCAACATAGTGAGAACCTGTATCTACAAAAAATGCAAAAATTAATTGGGTGTGGTGGCACGTATCAATAGTCCCAGCTGTTCCGGAGGCTGAGGTGGGAGGATCACTTGAGCCCAGGAGGTTGAGGCTGCAGTGAGCCGTGATTGTGTCATTGCACTCCAGCCTGGGCAATAGAGTGAGGCCCTGTCTCAAAAAAAAAAAAAAATCATTTATGTTCCTCATAGATTCCTGCCCACCTGAAGTTATCTGTCTTATGTATTTCCCCTAGTGACTAACTCTGGTTTTACCTAACCTGAATTTCTCCTATAGAATGCCTTCTTAGGATGTGCTATCTAGTGACTGTTTGGGTTTGTGATTCTCAACACAGATGCATGTTGAAATCACCTGGAGCTTTCAGTATGTAACGGCTCCTGGGCCTCACCTCAGAGGGACTGAAAAAAAAACCTCTGGGAATGGAGTCCTGGAGTCTGTATTTCTAAATTTAAATTCCTGGGTGATTCTAACACCAGCCAGGATGCCCAGCCACCAGATTAGGCATGGAACAGACTGGCCATTCTCACTCTTGAAGAACCAGACATCTCGACTTGACAGCAGAAGATGTGTGTGAAATGGATTGCAGGGAACTGGGGTCAGGGAAGGATGCCTTTCTTAGTCCACGGCCACGCTGGGGATATAGGAGAGCTTGGAGATGCCCTCACAATCAGGCTGCCAGGGTCAGGCAAAAGCAAACGAGGGTAAAAGAAACTTAGCCTGCTTCACACGTTTGCTGATTGATTTCCGGGCCTGAGGAAGAGATTCTGAGACTGGGGACAGTGGGGACGCGTGCTTGGCAGGTGGACAGCAGAAGTTGTTTTGAGACTAGGAGTGCAGAAATGCTCCCAACTAGACTTTTGACTGGACACCTGTCCTCTGCAACTCAGAGCCATGTTTTGATTTGGGGGATGTTTGGGGTCTCTTCTCTCATGCCAAATATTAGGCCAGGTTTCAATTGCATCCTCTGTGATAATAGTTCTGGGTTTTGACACCTTTTTTTCCCTTTTAGGTTCAGATAATGCACGTGTTTCTAATCCCACCGTGATATGCCAGGAAGACAGCATTGAAGAGGAGTGGATGGGTTTACTGGAGTACCTTTCGAGAATCTCTATTTGTAAAAAGAAGAAAGGTAAGCACCTGGGGTGGTGCTTCTCGTTGAGCTTTAAGGCCTGGTTCAGGAGGCTCTGCGAAGCCGAGCAGCTGGGTGACTTGGCCACACTATAGGCTCCTGCTCTTTAGGATGCAAAGGCCTGTCTCAGGAAATTCATTGTCAGTTGAAGAAACACATTCATGTTTGTGTGGCTCTTGCAGCCCCAGAGCCAGCAGGGGTGATTAGGCATTTCAAGTTTGATAAGGCATGGGATGCAGATTATTTAAAGGAATAAGATTGATTCAAAGAATCTTTGGGCTGGTGGCTACACATACAGACAGGCCTTCTGCTCAACTGTATATCTGAAAAACTTGACACCAGAGATTCTTGGCAGCTTTCCCACCCAGGGGAGAGAAGCTGCACCTTCCATTTCTCCATTCTGGTTACCACTCGCTTCCGACGACAGGCCCCTGTTGAGAGTGCATCTCAGGTAGATGTGTGTGGCCTTTCCCCCAACTTCCTGTCTTTGCCGTAGATTACTGTAAGAAGTACAGAAAGTACGTGAGAAGCAGATTCCAGTGCATTGAAGACAGGAATGCCCGTCTGGGTGAAAGTGTGAGCCTCAACAAACGCTACACACGACTGCGCCTCATCAAGGAGCACCGGAGCCAGCAGGAGAGGGAGCACGAGCTTCTGGCCATCGGCAAGACCAAGACGTGGGAGAGCCCCGTGAGTCCCATTAAGATGGAGTTGCTGTTTGACCCCGATGATGAGCACTCTGAGCCTGTGCACACCGTGGTGTTCCAGGGAGCGGCAGGGATTGGGAAGACAATCCTGGCCAGGAAGATTATGTTGGACTGGGCGTCGGGAACACTCTACCAAGACAGGTTTGACTATCTGTTCTATATCCACTGTCGGGAGGTAAGCCTTGTGACGCAGAGGAGCCTGGGGGACCTGATCATGAGCTGCTGCCCTGACCCAAACCCACCCATCCACAAGATCGTGAGCAAGCCCTCCAGAATCCTCTTCCTCATGGACGGCTTTGACGAGCTGCAAGGTGCCTTTGACGAGCACATAGGACCGCTCTGCACTGACTGGCAGAAGGCCGAGCGGGGAGACATTCTCCTGAGCAGCCTCATCAGAAAGAAGCTCCTTCCCGAGGCCTCTCTGCTCATCACCACGAGACCTGTGGCCCTGGAGAAACTGCAGCACTTGCTGGACCATCCTCGGCATGTGGAGATCCTGGGTTTCTCGGAGGCCAAAAGGAAAGAATACTTCTTCAAGTACTTCTCTGATGAGGCCCAAGCCAGGGCAGCCTTCAGTCTGATTCAGGAGAATGAGGTCCTCTTCACCATGTGCTTCATCCCCCTGGTCTGCTGGATCGTGTGCACTGGACTGAAACAGCAGATGGAGAGTGGCAAGAGCCTTGCCCAGACATCCAAGACTACCACTGCGGTGTATACCTTCTTCCTTTCCAGTTTGCTGCAGCCCCGGGGAGGGAGCCAGGAGCACCGCCTCTGCGCCCACCTCTGGGGGCTCTGCTCTTTGGCTGCAGATGGAATCTGGAACCAGAAAATCCTATTTGAGGAGTCTGACCTCAGGAATCATGGGCTGCAGAAGGCGGATGTGTCTGCTTTCCTGAGGATGAACCTGTTCCAGAAGGAAGTGGACTGTGAGAAGTTCTACAGCTTCATCCACATGACTTTCCAGGAGTTCTTTGCCGCCATGTACTACCTGCTGGAAGAGGAAAAGGAAGGAAGGACCAACGTTCCAGGGAGTTGTTTGAAGCTTCCCAGCCGAGATGTGACAGTCCTTCTGGAAAACTATGGCAAATTCGAAAAGGGGTATTTGATTTTTGTTGTACGTTTCCTCTTTGGCCTGGTAAACCAGGAGAGGACCTGCTACTTGGAGAAGAAATTAAGTTGCAAGATCTCTCAGCAAATCAGGCTGGAGCTGTTGAAATGGATTGAAGTGAAAGCCAAAGCCAAGAAGCTGCAGATCCAGCCCAGCCAGCTGGAATTGTTCTACTGTTTGTACGAGATGCAGGAGGAGGACTTCGTGCAAAGGGCTATGGACTATTTCCCCAAGATTGAGATCAATCTCTCTACCAGAATGGATCATGTGGTTTCTTCCTTTTGCATTGAGAACTGTCATCGGGTGGAGTCACTTTCCCTGGGGTTTCTCCATAACATGCCCAAGGAGGAAGAGGAGGAGGAAAAGGAAGGCCGACACCTTGATATGGTACAGTGTGTCCTCCCAGGCTCTCATGCTGCCTGTTCCCACAGGTAAGGAAACTCGGCTTCCAGCTACTTCCTCCTGCTTCCTCGCCAGCTTCTTCTTGGCACTTGCCTCCTCTCATCTCTTTTCAACTGTCTTCCAAATACAGTTGCCACAGCTACATAATTCCACCACCATCTGTTTTAGACCCCTTGATGAGCAAAGACTGACGTATGGTAGGTGGATATATGGGATGAGGAAAAAACAATAAAACAAGGAACAAATGTTTGGGAAATGCCAGTTTAGCACAAGGTAGGATTGCCTACAAATGTTTGTCAACTGAAACTGCTTGTAAGCTACTTGGAGTGCTAGTGCCTAAGAGTCAGTCAATGTCTGTGGGGCAGAACAATGCCAGAGAGCCTGTGTCCCAGGAGCACAGGGGATAGAGGGCCTCAGAGCGGGAGGCTGGGGGGAGGTTTCTTAGAAACGTGCAATCTAAGCCTGCCTTTAAGGAATGGTGGAACCTGGGTGCATAGAGAAGAAATGAAAGGAATTCTGGCACTGAAGACTGGTGTGAGCCAAGTCAGGAATGCAGTCTGAGAAAAAGTGTGTGCAGGTGACAGTGGAGAGAGACACAGTGTCCTTGGGAAAAAACACGGTGAAGGTAAATCAAGGGAAATAGAGCAGAAACGTCGAGACCCTCCGTCTAGGCCCCCATGTTGCTCTGCACTGGGCTGTGGCCGAAAGCCCGTTTTCGGGGCTGTTCACACACTTGCTGGGTGGTTGGAAGCTAGTGGCCAAGTCTGTGCAATGAAGTGGTTGAGTCACCTGACTTCTGAGTCCCTTCTGGGTTTATCATTCAGTGCCTCCTGCAGAAGGACCACCCACAGTGGTTGTAGGAAGGTGGCCACCCTGTAGTGATGTGTGACTTTAACCTGGATAGAAGATACTAGACATGGGGCACAGTTAAGGGAAACAGGAGGCTCTGCGCTTCCACGGGCAGCAGTGAGTTTCAGCTTTCTCGATCCCTTGACATTACCACGACCAGGACCACCTTATTAGTCATGGTTTGGCCATGAAGGACTGACTGCCCATGGGACCCAGTGGTGGCGAAGACCCAGGTCCTGGTCACAGGGACTTGAGGTCTGGCTGTGGGACTGTCCGGAAACAAAGGCAGATGTCGGGAGGACGGGGTCACGGACTCTGACAAGGAAACTTGCAGAGTATCCAAAGCACAAGGGGACGGACCTGTTGACCAGTGGGGCGCGCGTATCCCCGCTCAGCCAGCTTCTGGAGGATGGGCAGTGAGAGAGTGAGAGAAGGCGAGGGGCAGCCAGGCTGGGGGTATTCAGTGTTTAGAGAGAGGGCAGGCATGGGAAAACAGGGAACGGTTTCAACAGCAGCAAACAGTTCTGAGTGACTGGAAAAAAGACAGTTGTCTTCATCCATCAGGCTGCCATAGCAAAACACTACAGGCTGGTTGGCTTGTAAGTGAAAGGAATGTTCACCTTACAGTTCTGGAGGCTGGGAAGTCCATGATCCAGGCTCTGGCAGATCTGGTGTTTGGTGAGGGCCTGTTTCCTGGTCAGTGGTGCCTTCTCACTGTGTCCTCACATGGTGAAGGGCCAAGGCAGCTCTCTGGGGTCCCTTTCCTAAGGACAGCAGTCCCACTCCTGAGGGCTCCAGCCTCATAATCACACCTCGAAGGCCCCATCTCCTAATATGTCACGTTGAGGGTGAGGATTTCAGCGTATGGTTTTTGGGGCACACAAACGTTCAGACCGTAGAAATGGGAGAAGAAGAGTAAGACAGAGAGAAAAGTAGGCAGAGCTACTTATTAAGAGTGAGGTGGAGAGGGCAGGGAGACCTCATGAAGATCACACACCTGTGAGGAAGGCTTGCACACTCTCACTGAAGCCCCGGTGGGAGGCTTAGCACCCATCCCTCTAGGTGCCTTCCTCTGAGGACAGACTCTGACCGGAGCCCTGGTAGGCGGCTCAGCATCCATCTCTCTAGATGGCAGCTGCCTTCCTCTGAGGGCAGGAGCTTGCTTGTATGGTCCAGTCCCTTCTGAGAACCAGGAGCCTGAGCATCTGTTAGAAATGCAGGATTGTGGACCCAATCTTAGACCTAGGGAGCTAGACTTTGCATTTGAATGAGAGCTACAGGTGATTCAAAGGTGACTGCATGTGTGGGTGCAGTGGCTCATGCCTGTAATCCTAGGTTTTTGGGAGGCCAAGATGGGGGGATTGCTTGAAGCCAGGAATTCAAGTCCTTCCCGAGCAGCAAAGTGAGAGCACTTCTTTACAGAAAAACAAAAGCAAAAACGTGACTGCATGTTGGAGTCACCTGGACATTTAAAAAAGATCCATATAGCTGGACACAGTGACTCATGCCTGTAACCTCAGCTACTCGGGAGGCTGAGGCAAGAGGATTGCTTGAGCCCAGGAGTTTAAGGCTACAGTGAGCTGTGATCATGCCACTGCATTCCAACTTGGGTTACACCTAAAAAAAAAAAAGTTTAAAAAATTCGTCTGGTTGCACCTCAGAGATTCTGATTTTATTTCCATGGATGTGGCCTGGGCTTGGGATTTTTTTTTTTTTTTTGAGATGAAGTCTCGCTCTGTTGCCCAGGCTGGAGTGCAGTGGCACGATCTTGGCTCACTGCAACTTCCACCTCACAGGTTCAAGCGATTATCCTGCCTCAGCCTCCCTAGTAGCTGGGATTACAGGCTCGTGCCACCACACCCAATTAAGTTTTGTATTTTTAGTAGAGAGAGGATTTCACCATGTTGGCCAGGCTGGTCTTGAACTCCTGACCTCAAGCGATCCACGCACCTCGGACTCCCAAAGTGCTGGGATTGCAGGTGTGAGCCACCATGCCCAACCTGGCCTGAGGATTTTTGTGAGCACTCCTGATGCTATTGTGTAGCCTGGAGTGAGGACTGCCCTCTGGTCACCCAGCACAGAATGTTCAGGGCCATGTTGGGACAGTGGACTGGTAAGGGCGAGAGAGAAGGACACTGGGGAGCAGGCTGCAGGGTGCCACAGTCAGCCACAGTCACAGGCTCATGCTGTCCATCCGAGAGGAGGCAGAACTGGTTTTACCAAGGCTCATGCAGCCTTCTTCATTTCTCTGGGAGTAATTTTTGGTTTCATGACCCATTTCTTAATCCCCGGAAGGCATTTCTCTGAACTGGTGCCCCCAGCTCCAGTTAGTTATTATTCAAGGCTGATTTCTTTTCTCTCTGTCTTCCTTCTCATTCCTAGATTGGTGAACAGCCATCTCACTTCCAGTTTTTGCCGGGGCCTCTTTTCAGTTCTCAGCACCAGCCAGAGTCTAACTGAATTGGACCTCAGCGACAATTCTCTGGGGGATCCAGGGATGAGAGTGTTGTGTGAAACGCTCCAGCATCCTGACTGTAACATTCGGAGATTGTGGTGAGTACCCGTGCGTGTGATCTGTGTGACTTCAAGTTCATATGAAAGAGAGAGAGAGAGAGAAACAGACTGGAGAAAGATCTTCAGGACCAGATTGCTGGTGTGGTTTCTTCCTTTTCTTTTCTTTTTTTTTTTTTTTTGAGGTGGAGTTTTGCTCTTATTGCCTAGGCTGGAGTGCAGTGGTGTGATCTCAGCTCACTGCAACCTCTGCCTCCTGGGTTCAAGTGATTCTCCTGCCTCAGCCTCCTGAGTAGCTGGGATTACAAGCACCCGCCACCATACCCAGCTAATCTTTTGTATTTTTAGTAGAGATGGGGTTTCATCATGTTGTCCATGCTGGTCTCAAACTCCTGACCTCAGGTGATCCACCTGCCTCGGCCTCCCAAAGTGTTGGGATTACAGGTGTGAGCCACAGCTCCTGGCCTATGGTGTGGTTTCTGCTGTAACAAAGTGCCATAGACTGAATGGCTTCAGCAACATAAATTTATTTTCTTGCAGTTCTGAGGCTGAAAGTCTAAGATCAAGGTGTCAGCAGGGCTGGTTTCTTCTGAGGCCACCCTCCTTGGCTTGTAGATGCCCCCTTCTCCCTGTGTACTGACGTCGTCTTCCTCTGGGGGAAGAGTGGCCTAGTCTCCTCTTCTTACAGGGACAGTCTTGATGGATTAGGGCTCACACGCATGACCTAATGTTAACCTAGTCACCCCTTTTAAGACCCCATTTCCCAAAACAGCCACATTATGAGGTCTTGAGGATTAGGGTTTCAACACGTAAATTTTGGGCGGGGGGGCACAGTTCAGCCCAGAACAAGTGAGAAGGGAAAATGGATTGGAGGCCAGCTGGGGAAGTTTTGTGTGGGGAAGAATGAAGGAGGAACTGAAAAAAATGTCATTTCTTAGCCGGGCGCGGTGGCTCAAGCCTGTAATCCCAGCACTTTGGGAGGCCGAGACAGGTGGATCACGAGGTCAGGAGATCGAGACCATCCTGGCTAACACGGTGAAACCCCGTCTCTACTAAAAAATACAAAAAACTAGCTGGGCGAGGTGGCGGGCGCCTGTAGTCCCAGCTACTCGGGAGGCTGAGGCAGGAGAATCCCGTGAACCCCGGAGGCGGAGCTTGCAGTGAGCCGAGATCACGCCACTGCACTCCAACCTGGGCGACAGAGTGAGACTCCTTCTAAAAAACAAACAAACAAACAAACAAAAAAATGTCATTTCTTGAAAAGACCACGATGCTCAATATATTCCATTTCCTCATGGACCATGTTCATAGATGAGAATTGGAGAATTTGCCATTTACCACAATGGTAACCTCAGCTAAAAACTATGAAAATACTTTTTTTTTTTTCTTTGAGACAGGATCTCCCTCTGTGACCCAGGCTGGAGTGTGGTGGTGTGATCACGGCTCACTGCAGCGTCGACCTCCCAGGTTCAAGCAATCCTCCCACATCGGCTCCCCCGAGTAGCTGGGACTACAGGCATGCGCCACCACGCCGGCTAATTTGTGTATTTTTTTTGTAGAGATGTGGTCTCATCACGTTGCCCAGCCTGGTCAGAATGCTTTGTATGGGTTGAAATGTTGCAGGGTGCTTGCTCTCGCCTGTTGTCCCAGCTACTCAGGAGGCTGAGGCAGGAGAATCGCGTGTACCTAGGACGCAGAGGTGGCAGTGAGCGGAGATCGCACCATTGCACTCCTGCCTGGGTGACAGAGCGAGATTCCATTTCAAAATAATAATAATAATAATAATAATAATAATAATAATAGTAATGATGTGCTTGCTCCCTCCCACACCATGACTCAGATCCACACGCCCCAGGTGCTGTGCCTGGGCTGTCTCACCAGCTCTGTTTCGTTCCCTGCTCTGTGGATCCATGCAGGTGTCTGCATTTTTGAGGAGCCGCACAGCCAGTGTTAAAGCCCGCCACTCTAGGACATTTTCCTACCTCCCTCTCCGGCTCAGCACACTCACCTTGTCACCAGTCTTATCAATTTTTCCTCCTACCCGAGCTGTTTTCCACTTTTCCTCGTCCTCACCCCACCAGCCCAGGTCCAGCAACCGTCACCACTTGCCTGGACATGCGGTGACCTCCTGGACCATCAGCTCCCGGGGATAGGGTTTGCGTTTGCTTGTCTTGCCGTCCTCTTTGCCACGCCTGGACAGGCATCTTAGTCCCTGCCGGTGGTCAGAAACGCACACTGAATGGATGTTGGCTTTTTGGTCTCGCTGTGTCTGCCTTTCTCCCTCACCAGACCATTCTCCACACAAAAGTAAGATGGTCATTTAGAAAATTCTGATTTGAGCCGGGCGCGGTGGCTCAAGCCTGTAATCCCAGCACTTTGGGAGGCCAAGACGGGTGGATCACGAGGTCAGGAGATCAAGACCATCCTGGCTAACACGGTGAAACCCCATCTCTACTAAAAAATACAAAAAACTAGCCGGGCGAGGTGGCGGTGCCTGTAGTCCCAGCTACTTGGGAGGCTGAGGCAGGAGAATGGCGTAAACCCGGGAGGCAGAGCTTGCAGTGAGCCGAGATCATGCCACTGCACTCCAGCCTAGGCAACAGAGCGAGACTCTGTCTCAAAAAAAAAAAAAAAAAGAAAGAAAATTCTGATTTGATTGTGCTGTTCCGTGACTTAAATGCTTTCTCTCTGCTCTGCTCCTTATATTTTACTTTATTTTTTTTTTTTTGTCGATGTAGGAGGCGCAAGCGCAGCTTTGTTCCATGGATATATTATTGCACAGTGGTAGTATCTGGGCTTTTACTGTAACCCCCCCTTTTTTTTTTTTTGAGACAGAGTCTTGCCTTGTCGCACGGGCTGGAGTGCAATGGCACAATCTTGGCTCACTGCAACATCCACCTCCCGGGTTTAAGTGATTCTTCTGCCTCAGCCTCCCGAGTAGTTGGGATTGCAGGCGTGGGCCACCACGCCCAGCTAATTTTTATATTTTTGGTAGAGACAAGATTTCACTATATTGGCTAGGCTGGTCTCAAACTCCTGACCTCGTGATCTGCCCGCCTTGGCCTCCCAAAGTGCTGGGATTACAGGCATGAGACACCGCACCCGGCCTTTGTGTAACTCTTACCCAAATAGTGAACATTGTACCCAATAAGTAATTTTCCAGCCCTCACCTGGGTCCCACCCTCCCACCCTTCTGAGGCTCCAGTGTCTATCATTCTACGCTCTGTGGATGTTACCCTTTGTTTAGCTCAAACTTGTAAGTGAGAACATGTGGTATTTGACTCTGTTTCTGAGGTATTTCACTTAAGATAATGGCCTCCAGTTTCATCCATGTGGCTTCAAAGATGTGACTTCCTTCTTTTCTATGGCTGAGCAGTATTCCATTGTGTATATAGATCACACTCTCTTGATCTTTGCTCTTTTGATAAATTTCAAATTGTCGTACCATGGAGACTGGCTCTTTGGGACACTTAACCTTATTTCTCCAACTTCATCCCCAAGTTCTCTCCCCACTGCCATTGCCCCTGTGTGATTCTGGAGAGGGAGACACAAACAGGAAAGGGTAGGTGACAATGAGGTGTTCTGCAGATAAGTAGAGATCCATTTGTCCATTTGCTTGAAGTTGGTGTAAGGATAGGGACAGAAAGGAGGTGGTCTAACAGGCTCCAGGACCTATGAACTATTGCCCTGGAAAGAAACTAGAATGTCGTTCTCGCCCCCACGACAGGGATACATTTTTGTTGCTGGTGGTGGTGGTGATGGTGGTAGTGATGTGCGTGTGTGTGTGTGCATGTGTGTAACGGTGAAACCAATAAAGAATCAGAGCTGCAGCGGGGTGCGGAACCCCAGCACTTTGAGAGGCTGAGGTGGGCAGATCATAAGCCCAGGAGTTCAAAACCAGCCTGAGCAAGCTGGTGAGACCTTGTCTTTACAAAATAATAAATAAATAAATAAATAAATAAATAAATAAATAAAATAGCTAAGCATGGTAGCACATGCTGGTATTTGCAGCCACTTGGGAGGCTGAGGCAGGTGGATCTCCTTGAGCACAGGAGTTCTAGGTGGCAGTGAGCTATGATCTCACCATTGCACTCCAGCCTGTTCAACAAAGTGAGACCCTGTCTCTAAAAAAAAAGAAAAGAAAAAGAAAGAGAAAAAGAATCAGAGCTGCTTTTCCTTTCAATATAGATGGATGGCTGGGATGAAATCATCAAGCACAATGGGGTGACAATGTTGGTAAAGACAAGAAATAGCTGAGTGCAGCGCTGGCGAGGGCAGAGCCGACTGCGGGCACATCAACAGTTAGGAACACGAGGGAAGGAGGTGGAGTGCACAGGCCCACACCACCCGTTTCACTTACAAGCCAGGAGCTCACCATTCACTTGTCTGGGGGGTGACTGCAATGCACCCGGCACTGTTTATGGCTGGGAATTCACTGACGGGTGCTCCCTCTGCTGTGACTGGGGAGCCTGAGGGCTGACCTTGTGCTGTATTCCGGAGTTCTCTGGTCAGATGTGTTCTGACGCTTTCTGCCTCTGTTCTTGGCATGAAGGTTGGGGCGCTGCGGCCTCTCGCATGAGTGCTGCTTCGACATCTCCTTGGTCCTCAGCAGCAACCAGAAGCTGGTGGAGCTGGACCTGAGCGACAACGCCCTTGGGGACTTCGGGATCAGACTTCTGTGTGTGGGACTGAAGCACCTGTTGTGCAATCTGAAGAAGCTCTGGTGAGTTGAGCCCGTTCCCCAAAGGAAGCCCTGCCAACAAGGCATGTTTCGCACTCTGGCTTCAGTGAGGCCTGGGGGGCTGGAGTTTGAGTGACAGTGGCCTCGGCGGCTCAGGTGGCTGTGTGTGCTTGTCTCTGGGTGTCTGTGGCATTTCGGTCAGTTAGTGTTTGCTGTGGGGAAAGTCACACACTCAACCCTGACAAGGGGCATAAGTAATAAAAAAAGAAGATGACTGCCTGTAGGGTGCCCACTGCCTTAGCTGAGAAAAAGAAGAAAACCAGTGTAATGCATTGCTTTAGAGGAGTTTTAGAATTTCATGACAAGCCCTGGGTCCTCATGTTGTATAAGAAAAATGGTGCTAAAGCAGTGCAGACACTCGATGTTGTACGCAGCCCTTCCCTGAATGCTTCTGGGAGACTTGCATTTTGAAGGAGAGAAAAAAACACTTAAAAATGGAAGGGCCAATTCTCACCCATTAGGATGGCTATTATTAAACAAAAGCAAGAAAACTAGAAAACAAGTATTGGCATGGATACGGAGAAATGGAAGCCATTGTGTATTGCTGGTGGGAAAGTAAATGATGCAGCCAGTGTGGAAAACAGCACTGCAATTCCTAAAACAATATAGAATTACTATTGAAGCCAGCATTTCCACTCCTGGGTATATCTGCAAAAGAGTTCAAAGCAGTAACTGAGCCAGGCACAGTGGCTCACACCTGTAATCCCAGCATTTTGGGAGGCCGAGGCAGGTGGATCACTTGAGGTCAGGAGTTTGAGACTAGCCTGGCCATCATAGTAAAACCTTGTCTCTACTAAAAATACAAAAATTAGCCAGGCGTGGTGGCACGTGCTTGTAATCCCAGCTACTCCGGGTGGAGGCAAGAGAATCGTTTGAACCTGGGAGGCGGAGGTTGCAGTGAGTCAAGATCACGCCACTGCATTCCCACCTGGGTAACAGAGGAAGAGTTAAAAAAAAAAAGAAGGCAGGAACTCAAACATGTTATTTGTACACCCATGTCCATAGCAACACTATTAGCACTAGCCAAAAGGTAGAAATAACCCAAACGTCCTTCAACGGATAAAGGGTGTTGAAAAGTGCTATATATGTACATTCAGCTTTAAAAGGAATTCTAGTACACACTACAACATGGATGAGCCTCAGGGACATTATGCTAAGTAAGATAAGCTAGGCTTGAAAGGGCAAATACTCTGTGATTGTCCTGATAGGAGGTGCCTAGAATAGTCAGATTCATAGAGACAGAAAGAAAGGTGGTTGCAGGCAATGGGAGAGTGGGGAACGGGAAGACATTGTTTAATGGTTATGGAGTTTCATTTCGGCAAGATGAAAGGAGTTCTGGAGACGGTGGTGAAGATGGTTGCACAACAATGTGAATGTGCTTAAGGCCGTTAATCGTGCACTTAAAAATGGTTAAGATGGTAAATTTCATTTTACACGTATTTCACCACAATAAAGCTGAATGTAGGGAGCTGGGAAGATGTAGTATTGGTGCGAGCTTGTTATTCCGCCAGATGGAAGAGGAAATCAGAAGTGTACGTAGAGCTTGTGTCCACTCCCTTTCCATGTGTAAACTGGAGTAGAGGCAGTGGCAGGTACGGGTGCCTCCTTGTTCATGGTGGAGCGTGGGTGAGAGACATGACTGACATTCTGCCATCTTTGTGGAAGGCTGGTCAGCTGCTGCCTCACATCAGCGTGTTGTCAGGATCTTGCGTCAGTATTGAGCACCAACCGTTCCCTGACCAGACTCTACGTGGGGGAGAATGCCCTGGGAGACGCAGGAGTCGCAATTTTATGTGAAAAAGCCAAGAATCCACAATGTAACCTGCAGAAACTGGGGTAAGTCTTCATGGGTGTCTCAGCAGAAAAGTAACTTCTTTTCAGAGGTGAATTATGTGGAAAATGTGGATGGGGGTTACTCTGGTCAGGCAGAGTTGAAGGTAGAGTAAGGAGGTAAAAACATCAGAAATGGTTTGAAGGACTGGATGTATATAATGTATACTACTGCTAATGAGATAATTTATGCTAATTTATGATTATAGCATTAGAGTTTCTTAGTGTTGGAAAAAACCTTAGAGATTGTGCAGCCCAATTGCCCATTGAGGAAAAAACTTGTTTCCAAGGCACTCACATGAATAGTCACCCATTTTATGTGTGCATGCATGCAAGTTATCGTCCAGTGCGTGCAGCCTCTACACCAGGAAAGAGCTCTTACCCTGCAGCCTCTACAGTAGGAGAGGGATTTTACCCTGCAGCCTCTGCACTAGGAGAGAGCTTTTACCCTGCAGCCTCTTTATCCTCAACAGTGTCAGGGCTCAGCACCTTCACCTGGGTAGCCATGCTCTCCCAGGTACACAGGCTGGTTTGTTAGTGTCTCTCTTTGCAATTTGGTGCCCAGACCTGATGACGTGTGGTGGATGTTTTAGCTCCTGTTGCAGAGAACTATGGTTTCACTGGTGGAGCCTCTGATTTCCTTATGCTTTTTGGCAGTTACATAAACCTTTTGGTTCATGTTGGAATTCTGCAGTAAACAGTAGTAGAGAATACCCACTAATAATCATGCACTTTCCCTGTACCACTTTCCCTATACCACTTTCCCGTATCACCTGCTCTTTCCTGTTCTTACATGGATTTTCTCAGTTGGCGTCAGAAAGATGCTGTAAGGTGGGTATCTGTGTCTCCAGTTTAAAGAGGAGAAAATACAACTCAGGGAGCCTCGTAACTTTGTCCAAGGACACTCAGAGAGAAGGTAGTGGAACTCAGTGTAGACAAACGTCTGTGACCCCCCCAGCCACTGCCTTAATTCCCAGTGCATCGCCTTAGGAGATGTTGCTAATGGGCTCTCTACGGGGCTTCTTCCTCTGGCTCTCAGCCTAAGGGTGGGACCTTCAATTTAGCTTTGCTAAACCTCATCTTACCTGTCTTTTGACCCATTGACTAAGCAGTTTCAAATCTTGATTCTGTCAATAATATCTACAAATACAACAAGCAAATTGTATACGTCTTCATTCATTCATATTATTAATATATATACCAGCCAGATCAGCATTCAAGACAAAATAGAGCAGGAAAGGTCTTCCCAAAGGAGTAATCCACTAATCCGTAATTAACAACCAATATCTGTTCACAAAGCTCTGATCCTTCCTTGGGCCTGTCCCATCAGCCCATCCTCAGATGTGACCATGTCTCTTTCTGTGAAGTCTTCGTGCAGGGCCTTCATTTCCTCGCCTTAGGGCGTTACCCTTCCTTAGCAAACTGCCTTAGGGCGTTACCCTTCCTTAGCAGTTTGACTTCTGCTTCTCTGGGTTTGTTCAACAGACATGACTGGGTCCCTTTATTTTGCAGGCCCTCTGGGGGCTCTGTGGTGGGCACTGACAGTAGCCGTGAGTAAAACAGACCACAACCCTGTTTTCACAACCATTATTTTAGGGAAACGATAACAGATAATAGACAAGCTAAAAAATATACAGTGTGTATAAGAGCTATAAGAAAAACTAGAGTGACGGCGAGGGGTGCTTCTCTGCTCAGGCTTGGCGGGTGCCTCTCTGAGCGGGTGACATTGGAGCAGGTGCTAAGTGAAGTATGGGATGGGCTGTGAAGGAGCCGGAAGAGCCCTCCAGGCAAAGCAGATGGAACCGAAGGAAGGGGCCCAGCCATAGGCCCTCAGGTGACTCTCAGTGATCCTGGTTCCAAATTCCAAATGACAAACAAACCAATTACAAATGTGCCTGTTGCATCTGTAATACACTCTCTGTAGTCAATACCCAACCTGGTAGAGCTGCTGTAATAAAGTATCACAAACAGAGCAGCCTGAACAACAAGAGTTTATTGCCGCTCAGTTCTGAAGGCCAGAGTCTGAAACTGAGGCATCAGCAGGCTGGGTCCCTGTAGGTCGTACAGGTCCTTCCCGGTCCTTATTTTAGTTGACGTCTGCTGCCTTTAATTCACTTCTCTCCTCCTCTTTGGAAGCCTTCTTCCTCTTATGTTTAGGTCACTGCTCAGTCTTTCCTGCTAATGTTACAGCTTCCCCCTTCCTGGATCCTGCATTGGCTTCTCTTCCTGTGGTCTGGGGATTTTGCCACTGGTTTAGTTTTGTTGTTTTATTTTTTTTTTGAAATGGAGTCTTACTCTGTCACCAGGGCTGAAATGCAGTGGCGCAATCTTGGCTCACTGGGACCTCCGCCTCCTAGGTTCCAACAATTCTCCTGCCTCAGCCTCCTGAGTAGCTGGGACTATAGGTGTGCACTGCCATGCCCGGCTAATTTTTGTATTTTTAGGAGATAGGGATTTCACTATGTTTGCTAGGCTGGTCTCGAACTCCTGACCTCAGGTGATCTGCCTGCCTTGGCATCCCAAAGTGCTGGGATTACAGGCGTGAGCCACACACCCTGCCTGGTTTACCTTTTTGTTTGTTTGTTTGTTACTAAATGTTTCTACACTCCCTGAGAATTTTCATATACCTCTCAATTTCAACAACGATAGGTCTTAAACCCAGATGTCATTCACAAACTTTTTATTAGAAAAGTAACACATGCTTGGTGTAAACATATCATAGTACAAAGTGGAAAGTGAAAGCTCCTTCTCAGCCCTCTTCTGAGAGAGCCATTTACAATAGTCTGATGAGCAACCATCCAGACTTTTAAAAATACAATAGATTGTTATATAATCCATCCATCTGTCCATCCGTCCGTCCGTCCATCCATCCGTCTGTCCATCCGTCCGTCCGTCCATCCGTCTGTCCGTCCGTCCATCCATCCATCCATCCATCCATCCATCCATCCATCCGTCCGTCCATCCAAGGGAGTATCAGAGCTTTGTGAACACATATTGGTTGCTAATTATGGACAAATGGATTTCCTGTGTATGCTGATCTGGGTGGTATTTATATCAGTAATGTGAATGAAGACCTATGCGATTTTCATGTTGCATTTGTAATACATTGTTACATAGTATTTTAAATGCCTAGTCTGTTAGAGCTGCTGTAATAAAGTATCACAAACAGAGAAGCTTAAACAACAGAAATTTATTGTCCCTCAGTTCTGGAGGCCAGAAGTGTGAGGTTAAGATACCAGCAGGCTGGGTCTTTCCGAGGGCTGTGGGGAATCTGTTCATGCTTCTCTTCAGCGTCTGGTGGAATGTCATCTTGCTGACACATTTTGACATTCCTTGACCCGTAGATGCCTCTCCCACACCATTGCCTTTATGTCTACGTGGCGTCTTCCCTGTGTCTGTGTGCGTCTTTCTCCATGTCCCACGTTTCCCTGTGAAAGAACACAAGTCATGTTAGATTAGTAACGACCTCATCTTAACTAATTACATTTTCAGTAACCAATATCCAAATAACGTCACAATCTGAAGTACTGGGGCCTAGGACTTCCACATGTAAAGTCTTGGAGGAAACAATTCAATCCATAACACCCTATCTATTGAAACTAGAACCATGATATAAATATTGTTCTGTGATATCCTTTTTTTCATTTATCATGGATAAATTTCCACGCTGATTTGTGTAGATCTATTGATTGGGGCATAATATCCCATAGTGTCCTTTACCATGATTTATTTCATCAAATAAGGCATTTTGGGATAACTGTTCTTTTCCACTATTACAAACAACTCTGCAAAAATCACATTTTTATATGTAGTTTTATGCATGTGTATTTGCTTTTGAGATAGATATCTATAAGTGGCATTAATCAGTCAAAACTTTTATGCATTTTATGTGTTCGGTGTAGCCATACATGTGGCTGTGTGTTAGGTATAGCCTATGTGTTAGGTATAGCCACATTTTTTTTTTTTCTTGAACTTTAGGTCCTCATGTCTGGCTGCATATTGTGTGCTGCCTGTCTCAATATTGCTCATGTCACACATGCTGAGCGTTTGCAACATTGGTTTAATTATCATACCCCACCTTCCACCCCCGTTCTCTGACCTGCTCCTGCCCTCTTCCTCCCGCCTCATTGAATGGTGGGGCTTTCCAGGAGGCTGCCAAGTGAGTAAATGGAGGACAGTCCTAAAGCTCTGCTTTCAGTTCCCTCTACCACTCATCGTTACACCAGAGGGAACTTTTTAAAATGCAAATTTGAAAATATTGACCCTTTGTTCAAAAACCTTCAAAAGTTCTTCTCTGTCGTCAGTGTGACATCTTAGCTTGGCACACAAGGCTGTCCCTGATACTGCCCTCTCTCCTACCACACCTTGCACTCCATTTTGAGTCATGTTGAATCAGTTTTGTTTTGCTGTTTTAGAGATGCGGACTTGCTATGTTGCTCAGGCTGAATTTGAACTCCTGGGTTCGCCTACTGCCATACCACCCAGGGTGCCCAATCTCATCTGAACTCCTGGGTTCAAACAATCCTCCCATCTTAGCCACCCAAGTAGCTGGGACTATAGGTGGACATCACTGTGCCTAGCTATGAATTAGTTTTGAAACACCTTGGTGGTTCTTTTAATCTTCCTTATCCTTGCATACTCTTTTCATTTTGCCTGGAGGGTTACCCCCACTTTCCCACTTTCTACCATCCATCTAAGAAGCTCCTACTTATTTTTTAATTGCTGTGATCCTCATTTTGTCCATTTAAAAGTAGGGATAAAAATAACATTCCCATCTTGAGGTTGTGATCATTCAATGAGATAACCCTATTTAAAGTCATCATCCATGTCAAGCACACAATAAATACTGTGTGTGCTGCCTGTCTCAATATTGCTCAAGGTCGCACATGCTCAATCTTCTTCCTCAGTTTCCTTTCCTTTCCTTTCCTTTCTCTTTCTCTCTTTCCTTCCTTTTTTTAAGACAGGGTATTTTCTCTGTGGTTCAGGCTGGAGTGCAGTGGTAGGATCATCGCTCACTGTAGCCTTGAACTCCTGGGCTCAGGCAATCTTCCTGCCTCAGCCTTCTGAGTAGCTAAGACTACAGGTGTGCCACCATGCCTGGGTAATGTTTAAAATGTTTAAAAATTGTTTTGTAGAGACAAGATCTTGCTATATTGCCCAGGCTTATCTCAAACTCCTGGCCTCAAGTGGTCTTCCCACCTTGACCTCCCTAAGCACTGGGATTCAGTTTTCATTATGAGACATTTTTGTGACATAAGCAGGTAGTTAATAAATAAAAATTCCCAACAAATTAACTTAATACAGTACATGGCAAGATATCTAGCTTGGTAAATGTAGAGTTCACTTAGGTGGATTGGTTCAAATCAAGGTGTTATGTCGATCACATTCCTCTAATCCAAGGATTGGTTGGTGGGACATGGTTGTTTGACTCTTTAAACACTTTATTATGTGTTTAGTGTAACCATTGCTTAATAGTTACCAGCATTTTCACAATCTGGGTATGACATGTTCTTAACAAAACTACACTGTCTGTTGCCACTTCTATCACTACTACTACTGTGTAGTGCTCCCCAAACATCTGTTGAATAATCCATTCTACTCCTTTTTGGAAATAGTGGTAAAGCCTGCATAACTTTAACTACATAACTTTAAAAATATTTTCTCTTTTCCTCTTTGAAGACCACCCCCATTCTACTGGAATGTTCCTGGCCTTTGCCAGGAATCCTACAAATCCCTTCTGCATGTTCATTAACAACAACCCTCTAATAGAATTCTTACCTGGGGGTGAGAACTTAGTAGAAGCCACTCAAAACTTGCTTTGTTTTTGTCTGTCTCTCTTGGGTTTCATTTCCCTATTAGTCTTGCTTACTGTGTCTTTTCAATTTGATTCTTCCTTAATTGGGAAGATAGAAACCAGTGGGTGGATAATCGCTTTTTCCTGCTGGTCATCCGCTCACACTTTACTGTCTGAATAAACTTTTTCTGTATTTCTATTTTTCCTGCCTCTTAGACACCAAAGAGCTTAAAAACATGCCATTACCAAGGACTCTGGCAGGAAGGAGGCTACTCCTGGCTTTGTGGAAGGGCTGGAGTATGAGGCTTTCTGTGTACTGTACCGTCTGAGCATCTATGCTCCTAGGAATTACACCACTAGTGATTTTAGAGCTCTTATGCTCTTCCTGGGTGATAGAATGGGCTTAATTTGACTCAAGAATAGTACATCAAAACTCTTAATTCCATTGAGATTAATGCATTCCTGGGGTTTTATGCTCTAAGAGGCCCTTTGCTGTGCAGAAGGAAGAGAGAGGTGGACAGAAAGGGCAGGGGGGAGACGATGAGACTAAAATGTGGAAAGTCCAGGTCTGGATCCCTCCTCACCACACACCTGCTCTGTGGCCTTGAGAGAAACATGTAATCTTTATAAGCCTTTGATTTCTAATCTGTAAAATGTATGTAATAGTTTTAGCTGCACTCCTTCCTTGCCAGGTTGATATAATAATCAAATAAGACTGGTCTCTGGGTCAGACACAGTGGTTCACGCCTGTAATCCCAGCACTTTGGGAGGCCAAGGTGGGTGGATTGTCTGAGCCCAGGAGTTTAAGACTGCGGTGAGCTGTGCACTCGGCCTGGGTGACAGAGCAAGAGCCTTTTTCTTTTATTTGTTTTTGAGACAGAGTCTCACTCTGTCACCCAGGCTGAAGTGTAGTGGCAGTCTTGGCTCACTGCAACCTCTGCCTCCCTGTAACCTCTGCCTCCCGGGTTCAAGCAATTCTCCTGCCTCAGCCTCCCCGAGTAGCTGGGATTACAGGTGCCCACCACCACCCTGACTAATTTTTGTATTTTTAGTAGAGACGGGGTTTCACCATGTTGGCCAGGCTGGTCTTGAACTCCTGACCTCGTGATCCACCCTCCCAAAGTGCTGGGCCTCCCAAAGTGCTGGGATTACAGGCATAAGCCACTGCACCTGGCCTTATTTATTTATTTAGGACGGGTCTCACTCTGTCGCCCAGGCTAGAGTGTGGCAGCACAATCATGGCTCACTGCAGCCTCGACTTCCTGGACTCAAATGATCCTTCCACTTCTCCAGTGTGGTTGAGGGCTGCAGCGAGAAAGAAGTGAAAGGGGCATTTGGGGGAGCAGGAAGGCGGGAGGTTGCAATTGCTAAGGGCCCCATAGTGTTCCTGTCACAGCCCTAGCTACAGCTTAGAAGGTCACAATGGACGTTCACCTGTTGTCTTTGATGTTTAAATCCGCACTGACTTCCCATGAGGAGGATTTTCTTTTTCCTGTCTCTCTTCAAAACAAAACAAACAAAAAAACAGGTGTCTGCAGTGTTACGGGCATAATTAGTCAAGGATAACCACTGGGATGTCTTTCTGGAAGGAGTGGTACTGAGGAGCACTCCTGGCTGGAGGAAAGCTGTGTGAGAAGCAGGAGTATGGGGTAACTGGCTCAGTTTGCCTTGGCTCTCTTTCTGTCGGAGTGATCCAGCAAAATGTCTGCTGAGACATCATTTGTGTCTCCTGTGGCAGCCACAGACAGCAGGCCATGCTCTCCCCAGATCATATCCGAGATGCTGGCTTCTGCTCTCTGAGCTAAAGGCTGCAGCTGCTGAGAGAGGACAGGGCACTGAGTCGAAGCAGCTGCACAGTGTTGGGGAAGAGCTGGGCACTGAGGACTCTTCTCCCCGTCCTTCTACAGGTTGGTGAATTCTGGCCTTACATCAGTCTGTTGTTCAGCTTTGTCCTCGGTACTCAGCACTAATCAGAATCTCACGCACCTTTACCTGCGAGGCAACACTCTCGGAGACAAGGGGATCAAGCTACTCTGTGAGGGACTCTTGCACCCCGACTGCAAGCTTCAGGTGTTGGAGTAAGTCCTTCCGCTTATTACAGCAATGAGAACACATGGTGGCCAAGGGTGGAGGGAAGTTTAGGCAGAGTGGCCACAAGATAATCTGTATCTTAGAAGTGAGGTGTCTTCTTAGAGTTTGCCTTGTTACAGGATCATGGGACTGGGAGGAGTCCTTCCAGATGATATAAAGGTAGGAACTTGAGTCCTTTCCATCAGTTTTCTGTACCACAAAATAAGGGGGCAGTATGACACTTATATTTAATGGAAATGTAGGGAAGGGCACAGAATTCGGTAAATCGGTGAACAAACCACTGTTACTGATTTGATCTGTGCAATGCAGTGGATTTGAAAGAGATGCTCCTATCTGAAAAGGAGAGAGAAGAATCATTACTGGCATACAAGGCTGCTTCAAGCTAGTTAGTCCTGTGCTCTTTTTTTTTTTTGTACCTGAAAGAAGACAGACTAAGATGCTAAGATCTTGGGGAGCCGGGGGGATGGTTAAGGGGACGTTTTCTTTAAATCACCCCCTTTTTGCAGATTAGACAACTGCAACCTCACGTCACACTGCTGCTGGGATCTTTCCACACTTCTGACCTCCAGCCAGAGCCTGCGAAAGCTGAGCCTAGGCAACAATGACCTGGGCGACCTGGGGGTCATGATGTTCTGTGAAGTGCTGAAACAGCAGAGCTGCCTCCTGCAGAACCTGGGGTGAGTGCGCGCTGCAGAGATGCCCGTGGCGGGACTCTGAGTCCTCAGGAAATGTTGACTGTTACCAAATCCAGGATGGCTCTGGCTTCATTTGCAGCCACTCAGGATTAGGTTGGGCCTGGGTCAGTTGTGTGGATTTTTAAAAATAGAGAATATGGGGCTTAAACTACACATTCCACTTCATTAAGACTATTAGAACAACCAAAGTTAAGCTGGATTTCATCCATATTCTCTAAAGAAACACAAGTCCTAATGCGATCATGGCCAAGGAGGATTCTGTTCTACACAAGGAACCGTACTTTGTAAAACTCGTCTATGGTTCATCCGATTTGGAAGGGTCTTTACATAGTGGAGATCTTGTTGTTTTGTTTCTGAGGATTCCTAATTGGGAAAAGAGTGTTCCAGGAACAGCAAGATTGGAAATTACATGAAATTCAACAGTGTGTCAGGACATTGCCGACCCACCTCTGTGATACCACTGAGGTAGTCGTCTCCTCTCTAGTAGGAGCTTCCTGGCGAGTCCCACGGTTCTGTCAGCTGTGATGATCGCACTTTTCCCTGAAGACGTTTTCACTGCTTGGCTTTAAGGCCAACATGTTCTCCTGGGTTTTCTCCTATTTCATCAGCTCTTTCTACTCAGTCTCCTTTCTGGCCTTTTCTTCATCATCCTGACCCTTATGTGTTGAATCCTCAGAGCTCAGTCGCTGGGCTAATTTTTCTTCCCTATACTTTCTCCCTCATTTAAATTACCTGGTCTTCTGGATTCATGATATATGTGCTATGGCCTCCAGATTACATGTCCATAAATTCTGTGTCTGCGTGCTTGTCTGATCTTTCTTCTTGGAGGTTTAATAAACCTCTCAAACGTCACATCCAGATCCACACCCATGTTATTCTCTTCTACCTGAAACCTGATTCTTCCCCATCTCTGTCAATGGTCACTTCCTCTAAGTTGCTCAGGCCAAAACATTTTTGGTTCTGTCGTCACTGTCTCTTTTTTCTTTTTTCTTTTTTTTTTTTTTTCTTTTAGACATCTCCTCTGTCACCACTGAGTGCATCCGATCTCAGCCACTGTCGCTCCAGTCACCCATTCCTGCTCAGCCCCGATAGCTGGACTACAGGCCCTCCCCCAGGCTTTAGTGAGCCATGGCTCCTCTGACCGACCTTCTCGGCCCCAGTCTGATTACAGGCTTGAGCCCCGGCCCACTGTCCTTTTCTTAACCACCAATTTCAGCCATCTGTGGCTGCTCCGCTGGCATCTGCACTTCATGGCTTCTGGCCAAATCTTGTCTGGATTCATGGGCCACCCTGCATCTGTTATTCTGATTTTAGCAGACAGCTAAAAGCAGATTTTAGGGATTCAGCTAAAATGTAAGTCAGATCATATCACTCTTGCCAACATCGTCTGGTGACTTCTTATCACTTTCATAATCAGAGCAACAAACTCATGGTGTATTCCATGCCCCACATAATCCAGCCTCTCCTGCTTCCGAAGATTCCGCTTCTCCCAACCCTTGCTTATTCTACCCCAGTACAGCGGTCTCCTTGCTGTTTTGCAAGAACACTGTCATCTCTGGATTTTTGCACTTGCTTTTCTTCCTGCCTAGAACTCTCTCCCCTTCAGTATCCACATGCATTATTCTCTGTACATTCCTAAATTCTCTCTTAAAGGTCTTCCTCTCTGCGAGTCTGTCTTTGACTATTCTACTGAAAATAGAAGCAAGCACTTTTTTCTTCTCATTCTCCTCTGCAGTGAAGCACATCTTATGTACTATGTCGTTTTCTTGTTTATTTATTATCCATTTCTGCTCCCAAAATATAAATTCCTTTAGTCCAGGGAGTTCTGTCCATATTAATGATCTCAAGGCTGAGAACCTGTTGGAATGCAGGTTTGAATAAATACAAGTTTGAATCAGCCTTGCATCCTTGTGCCGACGTAATGGAGCACGTTTGCTGCAGGACAAGCCAACATTCCCAGAGCTAAGAGAGATGGGGGAAGAAAAGAAGAATTGGTCAGGTCAAAGCTGGGAACACTGCTACATGTAGTGTCACTGACCTAGCCCTGAGCGACATTCAGGACCCAGGCTGAGGGACAGGCTCAAAATAGATTGAAGAATCCATGAATGCAATCAACCTGTTTTCTCAGGCTGCGATAACAAGCTGTTCTAGACTGTGTGACTCAAACACGGAGATTTATTTTCTCACAATACTGGAGGCTGGAAAGTCCAAAATCAAGTCTCTGATGAATTTGGTTGCTGGTGAGAGTCCTCTTCCTGACTTGCAGATGGCTACCTTCTTGCTATGTGATTGCATGGAGTGAGGGGAGGCAAGGGAGAGAAGACAGGGGAGAAAGAACAAACTCTCTGTTATCTCTCCTGTAAGGACACTCACCCTCACAACTTCATCTCACTCTACCTACCTCCCAAGGGCCTCACCTTTAAGTACCATCACATTAGGGGTTCGGGCATCATCATGGGAAATTTTAAGGAAGACAGGCATTCAGTATATACCACCACCAAACTGAGATGGTTAGAAATGGTGCAGGACAAATGGGCGGATTTATTAGTTAAGTTGCAAGGGAAACTTTATTAAAGAGGAGGAAGAATTACATCGAAGAAAATGTGAGAGGCATCCTGGGCAAATGCAATGTGTAGAACTGGTTGGGTTCATGACTAAATGAACATAAGGTAAAAAAATTTACAAGACAGTTAAGGAAGTGTAAATGCTGACTGGACATACAGTGATACTAAGAAATTATTGTTAAACAGTTTTGGTGTGATAGTGATATTGTAATTATATTTTAGTGTCAGAAAGTGAATTATTGACAGATGCATTAAATGCAATATTTAAAATAATCCATGGGTGGGAGGAGTGGGTGGGCAATAGAAGAAACAAGTTGACATGACCTGTTTAATAGTCGAACTTGGGTAATGGAGATGGGGTTCATTATACTATTTTCTATACTTTTATGTATGCTTAAAAAGTTCCCAACTAGATAGTTAAAAATATAACAGGACCACATCGGACACTTAGAGCTTTTTTTTTCCCCCACATTTTTACTGGGAGCTGTGGGAGGGGCCTCCTCTGTCATTGGGGGTGCTCACAGTTTCTTCAGCCACTCCAGGCTGGGGCCCTGGGGGTCTGGGGGTGGCTGGGCACGTCCGGCTGGTCCCGTCATCGCGAACGGGCACTGGATAGTTGTGGGGCGTGGCCTTGTTGATGGTGATGGAGTACTTGGTGTAGGGGCTGAACGGGGGCAGAATTACAGCGAGGCTCCGGATGACGAAATACACGACGCGCGCTGGCTCCTCGGCCCAGGCATTCTTGAGGAAGCCGCGGAGTCTCGCGGCCATCTTGGTCTCGGCGGCGGCGACAGCGGCGAGGACGCGGAGCACGCTGGGAGTTGTGGTCCTTTTTTTTTGTTGTTTAACATTTTAGAAGCGTGTGGAGTTTAGGGAAATGGAGAGAAGACACTTTTAAGGTTAACGACTCTGAGAGAGTTATCTGAAGTGTGCAACCCAGGCTTTCTATTTGCTTTTACAGGTTGTCTGAAATGTATTTCAATTATGAGACAAAAAGCGCGTTAGAAACACTTCAAGAAGAAAAGCCGGAGCTGACCATCGTCTTTGAGCCTTCGTGGTAGGGGTGGAAGCAGCGCTGCCAGACGCGGCGGTCTCCGGGCCCTCCAGCCGGGGGTCCTCAGGTGGAGCGAGCTGCGACCCATGCAGGCCAAGAGCACAGCTCTGTGATCCTTCCGGGGGAGTGTCGGAGAGGAGAGCGCGCCCGCCGGGCCTTCGTGTGGAGAGCTGGGGCGTCTCCTTTGCGCCCGGGTGAGGGAGACACCAGGGCACTGACAGCAGCGGATGTTGTTCTCATCCCAGCGCCTCAGTTAGAGGATGTTCCTCTTGGTGACCTCATGTAATTAGCTCGTTCAATAAAGCACTTCCTTTGTCTTTATTTTTCTCTTCTCACTGTCTTTCTTTTTCCTATCTTTTTTTCTTCTTTGTTCTGTTTACTTTTGCTCATATCATCATTCCTGCTATCTTTCTATTAACTGACCATAACACAGAACTAGTTGACTATATATTATGTTGAAATTTTATGGCAGCTATTTATTTATTTAAAATTTTTGTAATACTGTTGTTTTCTAATAAGAATAATCCATGTTTGTGTAGCTAGTTGAAAATTCAGGAATATGTAAAACTTTTTTTTGTATTTATTTAATTAAATTGTTTCCTTTTCTTAATTTTAAAAAAGAGTACCTGGAAATTTTTAAAATTATTTCTCTAAAGCTCTAAGGGTAAATTAAATTGCTTGGTGCATTTTAAAAGTCACTTTGGCAAATGGTTCTATTGTAGATAATTTTTAAAAAATTACCTCACTCTAACTGTAATGAGTGGAATTTCATCTTTGCTAGGATAGAATGAAAATCGTGGAGTGAAAGGTTTGAGAGTATCAGAGCCTGCACTCCTAACTAGAAGTATTATGTAGAAGATGCATCTTGCTTTCAGTTGATAACAGCTTATTTTGGATTTATCCCATCCGAGGAACAGTTCATCTATCATACTTCACAGAGCATCAAGTTTTAAGGAAATATTTACTAATTGCTTCTCAACACATGGACAACTCTTAAACCGCATGGAATTGCTCAGGATGGAAATACTACTTCCTCTATACAATTAGCCATCAAAGTAGCCACACTTTGCTACTCAAAGTGTGGTCTATGAACTGTCAATATAGGAGTTCGTATAAGAATGTAAAACAATCACATTATTAAACATGCCTTTTAGATGAGCTGACATTTAAAAAAAAACCCTTAAGACTGTTTCTATAAGGGAAACAGTATGAGATTTACATTCTATTGCAAACTGTCTTGTTAGCACTTCTGAGCAGCACCAACTGGAGATTGGGTTTCTGCATGTTGGTGAACTATTACCAACTGCCTTCCTGCTACAAACACTTTGATACCCTGTATAAATAATGTAATCAGAAACACATAGCTGAGCTTGAAAGAGATGAAAGATAACTTTTGGGCATTAGGACTTTAAAACTGGCCAGGTTGCTGAGAATGCCATTATTTCATTCCTTTTTATGACTGAATAGTGTTTTTCCATGGTATATATCTCACATTTTCTTTTTCTTGTTTTTGTTTTTTGAGATGGAGTCTCACTCTGTCGCCCAGTCTGGAGTGCAGTGGCGCGACCTCAGCTCACTGCAACCTCCGCCTTCCGGATTCAAGCAATTCTCTGCCTCAGCCTTCTGAGTAGCTGGGATTACAGGCGTGTGCCACCATGCCCAGCTAATTTTTGTATTTTTAGTAGAGACGGGGTTTCACCATCTTGGCCAGGCTGGTCTTGAACTTCTGACCTCATGATTCACCCGCCTTGGCCTCCCAAAGTGCTGGGATTATAGGCATAAGCCACTGCGCCCAGCCTATCTCACATTTTCTTTATTCACTAGTTGACTGATGGGCATTTGGGCTGGTTCCGTATTTTTCCAATTGCAAATTGTGCTGCTATAAACATGCATGAGCAAGTAACTTTGTTGTATAATGACTTATTTTCCTCTGGGTAGATGCCCAGTAGTGGCATTGCTGGATCAAATGGTAGATCTACTTTTAGTTCTTTAAGGAATCTTCACACTGTTTTCCATAGTGGTTCTACTAGTTTTTGTACTAGTTTACATGGAAAAACTTTCTATAGAAGAAAATGTAAACTACAGAGAAAAAAAAAATCCAAAATCACAGGAAAGAGATAGCAATCTACTTAATTCCTGGAATTGTTTGAAAAAGTCATGTAAAATTTGTGGAGGTTTAAGTATATGGAGAAAAACACATATTCATTATAAGTAAAATAAGATTGTATTTCAGCTTCATCTTGTGTATACTTAGAAGTAATAGAAAAGACACAAATGGGGAGAGAAAAAAAGAAATACAGGAAGAGGAAAAGAGAAAAGAATCAGGAAATTGGAAGTTAAATAATTCCACACATACTTATTGAAGTCTATTTAAACAATGCTTAAAAACATATGGACTCTTAGAATTACACTTTTAAAATGAACTTTGTCGCTATGGGATTTGGGGTATTATGACAGGAAGTGAGATGTTTGAAGACAGAGTTTTTGAGCTCTCTGGGTATTAACTCCTTAAGTGAAAGATGCTCTGAGTGCACAATAGACTTGTGCAGTGCTCTTTAATTGATGGAGATGCTACATCTCACGTCCTCATCGTCCACAGAGCCTCCAGATCCTGGCCAGGAGTCTCCTCAGAGCCCCCTTCACATCTTTATTTCTCAGGGTGTAGATGAAGGGATTGAGAGTGGGGGTGATTATGGAATAGAAGAGAGAAATAAATTTGCCCTGCTCTTGGGAGTAGCTGGAAGGGGGCTGAAGATACATGTAAATGGCAGGTAGGTAGAAGAGGGAGACGACCATCAGGTGGGAGGAACACGTCCCAAAGGCCTTGTGTCGTCCCTTGGAGGATTGGATCCTGAGCACTGCGCGGGCAATAAAGCCATAGGAGAGAAGGATGAGAGCCAGGGGCACCAACACGAAGAAGGCCACCAGCACAGCCAGCGTGGCATCATTCACAGCTGTGTCGGCACACGACAGCTTGATCATGGCCGGCACCTCGCAGAAAAAGTTGTTTAGCACCTGCCGCCCACAGAACGGCAATTGCACAGTCAGGACCACCTGCACGAAGGAGTTGCCGAAGCCACTGAGCCAGGCCAGAGCCACGAGCTGCTGACAGAGAGCACGGTGCATGAGAACGGCATAGTGCAGGGGCTCGCAGATGGCCACGTAGCGGTCCAGGGCCATGGCGGCCAGGAGGATACACTCCGTGCATCCCAGCCAGTGGAAGACTGCATACTGCACAGTGCAGCCTCCGTAGCTGATGGTCTTCTGGGAACTGCCCATGTTGACCAGCATCTGAGGGACCGTAGTGGTGGTGTAGCAGAGGTCCAGGAAGGACAGGTGGCTGAGGAAGGTGTACATGGGACTGTGGAGTTGAGGATCCAGCTGGGATGCCAGGATGATGGCGACGTTCTCCAACATGGCCAGCATGTAGGACAGCAGGAGGACCACAAAGAGAGGGAGTTCCAGCCATGGCCTGTCAGACACACCCAGAAGGATGAAGGCTTTAGGGGGGTCCCCTGAGAAGCTCTGGTTGTCACTTTTCATGTTGTGGTATTTTCTGGCACCTGTGACAAATTGAGAAAATCAGAATGAATAATACCTGAGAAGAGGAACTGATCGCTTTCCTCCGTCTTGCATCCACTCTTCCTTCCCCAGGTGACAGCCTGTTTGATTCTCCTTACCTCTGTGGAGACGCTGGGATGTGGAGGGATCAGAACAAAGCGCCCCAGCAGCAGCCTGTGTGTCTTTGCTCTCCTTCCTACTCAGTGGCCTCAACTAAAGCCATTTAATCTCCCTGAACTTCTGCATCTGTGAAATGGGGAGAAATACCCGCTTCAATTGCCAAGACTTGGGGACGATAGAGACATTAAGTATGTGAGAAGAATACCTCATGAATGACAGTTGTGTTCCAGGTAGAGTGAAGCCTGCCACAGCTCCCATCACCGTCAGAATGTTCGATTTCTGTCTACATCCACATCGACAGGGAATTGTCCACCTTCTTAGGCTTTCCCATTTTGGGAGGTAGTGGTAGGAGGCAGGTGGGTGGTGATATAAAGCAAGCAGAAGGGCTTTGTGAGCATCTGGGGGCTGTATTGATAGAACCACCCCCCATCACCTGCTCACGCTTGCATCCGGCTCCCCGATTCATGCTGATCTCTGCTTTCAAGACCGCTCACGCACAGGCAGCCCTGTCACTCACACTGGTGGTAAAAGCAGCACAGTTCTAGGTCCTGTGAGTCTCTGGAGTGGAAGAGCCAAGTCATATGTTACTTCAGCCCCTGAATAGGTCATGGTAGTTAATGAGACCCCAGAGCATGGAATTTTGAGCACAGGGAGAAAGCTCTTGATTGGCATGAGAAAGGTAGTCCCTGGAACTGTCTACGGAAAGATCAGACTGCCCTCTACGGCTAGGTTTTATCTGATGGCTTGAGTGACATTCCAATTTCCTGCACAATTTCTTTGCCAAGCAGCTGTCACCACTCAGTGATAGAAAACAGCCAATTTGATTTCTGAAACCATTGCTGTTAGGAAGCAACTGGGTTGCCAGCTGCTGATTAGTGGCTCCTTTCGACTGCACCCTTGGCTTCTCACCTCCTACACTCGCTCCAGCATTGCACACCTTCCATTTCCTGATGGGGATGATATGCTCCATGACAGGATTGAAAAATATTATTAATAAACAATAATTAATAATTTATTAATAAATCCTGCAAGCAGATAATTTATGAAGGATTTTTATTCTTGATGTGGTACCTTATGCATAGACTGTAAAACTAACAGAGATCTGCTCAGCTTAGATGTTGCAACAGGTGTTCCCCGCTGCCCCAGTTGATATTCTGAAGAACTCCACTGTTACTGGAAAACAACTCAAACTCCAGGGTTTCAGTGGAGGAATAAGTTCAAAATTTCCCTCCTGCTTCTCTAGTTTCAAAACTACACACGGTTTGTTAGAAAGTTCCCAATATTCTTGGAAACACTCAATTATTGTACTTCCTCCCAGATTCTATCAACAATACTTACGACATAAACTTCACAGAATGTGATCTTATCTCCAACGAGCTCAACATGCCAGCCAAAACAGTGAGCTGTGGCTGAGCAAAGTCAAGCTAGCACATGTTCAAGCCTAATTATTAAGAAGTAAAGGAATTAGGACATTTCTCCTTCTGAGATTTCTGATTCCAGAGTTTCTTTTCAGAGCCTAACCTGGGAGAAAAGGGAGAAGTTGTAGGGATAGTGAAGAAAGAAATAAGAGAATGAAGGAAGCAAGAAAGATAGAGGGGTAAATGTAGGCGGCAATTTATAAGAAAGACAAGTTATTTGCCACTCACGACGAGCCAGGTACTGTAATAATAACTTGATGTTGCTTTAATATCTCAGCAAGGTCCATGTTTTCACCCCTAATTCACTGAGTGACTTGGGAGGATAGCTGGTCTACCTTAGTTACACAGCAGCAAATGGTAAAGCCAGGACTGAAAGCCAAATTCCTGCTCTTAACTACTATTCTCTCCAGAACTTTGCTTTAAAAAAAGAGCAGCTGGTGACATGGGAGCAGCAAGGGCAGTCGCCTAAACGACTGAGACAAAAGAAGATGCTGGGAAGGGGAGATGAGAGAGAGGAAGGTCACAGGAGAGAAAGCGGCTGGGATTACAGAGGAGAGGTTTTCTTGTAATTATAGTCGACTGTACATGTGCACACCTACGTACACACGTGCACACACCTGCATGCTCGTGCACACGCGCACACGCACACACACAGTTTCTCAACGGCAAAGCTGGATACTCCCCAGCCCTGCCCCTCATGCCCTGGATCTGATGCCCTTCTATTCAGGCCTTTCCACATGGAGCTTTCGTAGGTGTCTGGCCTCTGCGCTCCTTGACCTTCTTTCATCTTCCAAGTACAGGTGCCCCCCATGGCACAGCCTTGCTTCCCTGGATGGACACAATCATTCCCACAAATGTCGCCATCGCATTCAAACGGAATCCCTCCAGGCTGTTTCTACATCTGCCAGTTCCTCACTGACCTCTAACCCCCTTTTTGACATTGTGAACTGAGGCATCCCAAATTTCACCTGGCAGCCATCCTCCCAGACTCAAAGCAGCTCCTTCACCTTAATTCTGGCTGACTTCCCTTCAGTCACGGTGACGCCAAGTACTGAGGTTCTTTTAATCATGTTCTACTCCTCATTCACTCTAGTTCAACACCAAAGTTAAATAATTCAACACCCTTACAGTGCTGTGATCCCACCCATACAATGTTGCATTGTTGCAGGCACGCACCGTCTGAATCCTCACCACTGCCATCCTGGGCAGAAACGCTCACCAGGACCCCTCTTGGAACTTGCTACCTGCCTCCTCTCTGCAGGCAGCTTCAACCCCTCACTCACCCTCACACGAAGTCATCTTTCTGAAACTCAGGCCTTAAGAGCAAGGATACCTTTAGGTGTTTTAATTACCAAAAATATAAGAACCCATCGCTCAAGGAGTTACCTGCTGATTGTATCGTGTTCACACTGAATTCCTGTAGTTTCTTCTGAGAACCGTCATGTCCCTCTGCGTTGGCAGCCACCACATTGTATTTTAACAGCAGCACTTAGGCCACGGCTGCTGGCAGGCTAGTCTGTGAACCCGCGAGCTGTGATACACCCTTAGATATATATCGTTCCCTAGAGGATATATAATCCTTATGATTAATAGATCTATATTATCTATCTCTTATCCCTGACATTTGCTGCTGAGATCTCTGCTGACGCTTGACGGAACGCATTGTTACCTATTCCACCACACAAGATCTAAAATCAAATTCACAGCAGTGTGTGGAATTCCTAGAAAGCAGCTTATGAGATGGGCAAACAGAATTTTTTATGGATCATAGATTTTATTGCTTATTAGTCCAAAGGGTGTCTTTCTTCAACCCAGAATGCAGCCTTCCATCCCACAACTGGGATAGCCTGGTCCAGGCCCTGTTCAGCTGCAGAGGCCATCATTGGGATTACACTCAAGAGAGTCTTGGGGACGAGGCGTAATGATAGCAATGTTTTCCTGAACTGATAGTAACAGGGACTCTTCCATCACAAAAAGAGAAAGAGCCCCTTTCTCCTTATTTAAGACCCGCTATCTCCTTATTTGTTTGCCTTTGCCATCCTGGTTCAATGGCATGCTTTTTCTTAGACAGGAGTCTGACAAGTACAATCGAGATGTTAGCTGGCACAGGGGCTTGAGAGCACACAAGCCCAGCCTCAACTCCACCTCTTCATCTTTATTTTCAGTCTCACTCAGCAGCCTCTGCAACATAGTTAGTGTCCCTGGCATAGCCCTTTCTCATCCTGTGCCAGGGTCTGGGGAAGTGCACATCCTCCTGCTGGGAATAGCAGGAATGTCTTGGGAATCTTACCTCCTTCCCTTGCCTTCATGTCCCGCCTCTGGTTTCAGGACAGCCCAGTTTCTTTCCTGTAACTGTCCTCACTAATTTAACACTATTCATCGTCTTCTGTAGCTCCCACAGTACAAGGGGGTTTGAGGACCATGAATATCCCTATTGCCACAGCGGACCTGAGGTCTAATTTTTCATAACACTTTAATTTGAAAGATTAAACACATTCCTAGCATTGAGAGAAGGGAAGTAAGTCAGCACTGAACGGGCACCCACCAGCTCTGTCTGTGCACCAGGCACCGCATATGTGCCCTCCCATATCCCGTTTCAATAACTCTGGAAAATTCAGAGGTTCAGAAGGATTAAGAAGTTCACCTCATTCAGGGACTGGGGTACGAGTCCACGGGGTAAGCTATTTAAACACCCAATGCTGGTTCGCACAGAGGGGAAGTTACTTTCTCGTAAGCCTCTGGATGTCACAATCTGTCACTCTCAAAAGTAACAAACAGTTTCCCTTAAAAAAAATTTATTTTATGTTTACTTAAAATAAATAGAGATGGGGTCTTGCTATTGCTCAGACTAGTCTCGAACTCCTAGACTCAAGTGATCCTCCCACCTTGACCTCCCAAAGTGCAGGGATTACAGGCGTGAGCCACCTCGCCCAGCCCAGTTTCCCTTTTGCATGCACGACTTTGTTAAACACCCTGTAAACCTGAAAAATATTAAAGACCTCGTCTAATGGAAAAATTTTAAATGTGCTGTTATCATTTGGTAATCATTTCCAATATGTTAATTTTTTACTTTTTAGGGAGATTGCAATTTCTTTTTTTTTTTTAATTATAATTTAAGTTCTGGGATACATGTGCAGAACGTGCAGGTTTGTTACACAGGTATACACGTGCCGTGGTAGTTTGCTGCATCATCAACCCATCATCTACATTAGCTATTTCTCCTAATGCTCTCCCTCCCCTAGACCCCACCCCCCGACAGACCCTGGTGTGTGATGTTCCCCTCCCTGTGTCCATGTGTTCTCATTGATCACCTCCCACTTATGAGTGAGAACATGAACATGTCTTACATATTATGTCATTCACAGCATAAATAATGCAATTAATTCACAAAAATGATTATTGATTTTGTTAGCAAATCTAAAAGCCTCATCCCTCAAATAGCTCCTTATTTCGGAGGGTACCTAGAGTCCTCAGCCTCATCAGTTATTCCTTCTAGTGCTGGGGAGGAGGGGAAGAGGAGGAGAAGGAGCTGGGGCCCAGCAGTGATGGCCTATGGGAGGGAGGATACGGCTGCACAGCCTTCAGCGCACGGCTCAGGCAGGGTCGGCCCCTCTGCACATGCCTCCCCCCTACCACCGCCATGCTTCTTCGCCTTTTTATGTGGTCTGACTTTTTCAGATTTTTCAATTTGAAGCTTGCTTTCTCGGGGACTGATACTATTCAGCTTTGAGTTCTCTTTTTCTCTCTTTCCATGGCCCTGCTCAGCTCAATACTGGCCTTGTGACTGCAATTCAGCATCCTCAAAAATAGGAGGAAGCAGAGGAAGGGGCTCAGGGTCCCCATACACTGTGTGCAACGTCCGCTGTTCCGATGAGTGTCAGAGAGCATGCCTACCTACAGGCAGAACATCCTGTTCTGCTCCTGGCTCCCTTTTCTAGATAAAACGACCCAACACAATTTTACACTTGCTGCTGAATGCGTGGTCATTGTTCATCGACTCATCCATCCTCCACCTCATGTGCCCGTGGTCTCCAGCATAGACCAGTGTTAATACTGCCGCAACCTGCACCTCCGCTGCACTGTACAGATTTTAGCTTGACTAGAGCTGAGGATGAATCATTTACCTCCAGGGTGCCTGGCTCCTACAGAAGACTTGGTTTAGGACTGAAGGCTATATTGCAGCCTGTACTGGCCTTAGTTGCAGAGGGATATTTAAGGATGGACTTACTAGAAATGCTCTTCATATTCCAGGAAGACACAGCTCATTTTCTCTGATGGGCCACTGTGGCCTTGCCATTTACTGGAACCCCGCCCTCTGAGCAAGTCTGAGAGATTATTCTCAGTCCAGAAGGAGTCTGCTGTCCGTTGCAACAGCCTTGCTGGGGAGACTCAGGCTTTTCTGGACTCTCCCTTGGCAGTGTGTGAGGTCCGTGGATCTGCCCTAACCTTGGTCCCCCAGAGTGTCTATAGATACCTTGACATGCTGGAGGTTACTTCCGAGGATAAAGCTTTCAGGCAATACACCGTGCCCCTGTCACGTTCCCTGTTCATTTCAAAATTATCCCTCAGGTTTAACTTGATCTCATCCTCTTCACTGTTTTCTATAAGGGCCCTGCTCGTTCTCTCCAGACTTGCTCTCCTCTGGCTGTGAAATTATCCTTAACCCTGATGTTTTATTTAATTAGTGTCTAAGGAGTTAGCTGATAATTGAGGTGGTGTGAGAGCTTGGAGTTCTTGCAATTAATGGCAAATCCCAGAAGACCAGAAAACCAGAGAAAATGGATCAATAATGGGGAATGAGAACTCTGTGTGTATGTGTGTGTGTGTGTGTGTGTGTGTTGAACTCTTTCGGGTTGGTGCATGGTGGGGCGATTACTGTAACATCAGAGTGGAGTAGTAACTAGAGTGTGTGATTCAGTTAAAGCATGAGACCTGAACTGGCTTCAGCACCAGGCTCCGTCCTCATGCTGTGTGTCTTTGAGCAGGTTACCTAAACTATCTGTGCCTCACTTATGTCATCTAAAAAATACAAGAAACATTAGTATTGTTTTGCACAGTCTGTTACAAGGGTGGAATGAATTGGTACTGGTAAAGCACTCAGAACAATGAGTGGCACAGAGTAATACATGTTGAGGGGTTTTTGTTGTTCTTGTTGATATATTGTCTCAGCACCCTGTTCTATTTTTCACATGGTGGGGATATAAAAGTCATAAGAGAGCCCGCAAGAAGTAGTGCAAATTTTATTTTATTTATTTTTTTATTTTCTTATTTGTATAAATTTAAGGGCTACTGGTGCAATTTTGTTACACGGATATATTATGCAGTGGTGAAATCTGGGCATTTAGTGTAACTATCACCCGAATAATGTACGTTTTACCCCACGTAATTTCTCCTCCCCCACCCCCTGACACCCTCCTACCCTCCGTGGTCTCCAGGGTCTCTTACTCCATCCTATGCATCCCTGTGGACACATCATTTCGCTCCCACTTGTAACTGAGAACATGTGGTATTTGACTTTCTGTTTCTCCGTGGTTTGGCTTAAGATAGTGGCCTCCAGTTCCATCCACATTGCAGCAAAGACATGACTTCATTTTTTTATGGCTGAATAGAATTCTTATAGTGCAAATTTTAATTCATGCGCAATAATTCATGTGATTAAATGCTGCTACAAGAACCACTGTGAATAGCAGCACCTTGGTGCAGTTACTCTCCCTCTCTAGGTTTTGACTTGATCATCTTTTCTCTCTAGCTTTAGATGTCTAAGCGGACATGCTTAGGGTGAGTCATGGCCATGAGTTAGGGCTCAATTTTTACCTTCTGGGGATGGAGGGAGGAGAGAGAATATGTATCAGAGGAAGATAGTGCGACTGTGCTTTGGCGATGAAGTGGGAGCTGTCCCTAATTCTAAGCATGCTCTGTTGTACTCTCTCCCACGGAGAGCCAGATGAGGCACCAGGGACGTCTTAGACACTGTATTTTTTTCTTTTTTTTTGAGACAGAGTTTCGCTCTTGTCCCCCAGGCTGGAGTACAGTGGTGCAATCTCGGCTCACTGCAACCTCCACCTCCCAGGTTCAAGTGATTCTCCTGCCTCAGCCTCCCGAGTCTATGGGATTACAGGCGCCCGCCACCACTCCCGGCTAATTTTTTGTGTTTTTAGTAGAGACAAGGTTTCACCATGTTGGCCAGGCTGGTCTTGAACTCCTGGCCTCAGGTGATCTGCCTGCCTTGGCCTCCCAAAGTGCTGGGATTACAGGCGTGAGCCACCATGCCCGGCCTTAAACACTGTCTTGTTATCCAGCTGGGATAATTTCCAGAGGTGGAGAGGCTTACATATCTGTGCAGTTGGGGGAAGAAGGGTGGAATAGGCAGTTTTGTGCTGAGAAAACCAAGATGCAATTGTAGTTGGAAACTCTCATGACTGAGACTGGCACAGGGTCCCACTGGAATTGTGCTAATTGTCATCTTGATCATCTTTCTTCAAATATCTGTTCTCCCACTCTTATTGTTGGCACCCCCTTTTACTCCATGCAGCAAGGTACTCTGTGATGTGATTATATTTTCCAGGCTTTCTAACAGATAGGGGAAGCTAATGAGATAAAATTACTGGGAAAGCTTGGAAAAATATTAGCCAATCCTCCTTTCTCTATTTTTGTGCATGGAATGTAGTCTTGATGGCTAGAGCCCTAGCAGCCATATTTGATCTTAAAGCAATCTTAAAGAAGAAAGGCACATACTAAGAACAGTGGAACAGGCCAGCCACAGTGGCTCACACCTGTAATCCCAGCACTTTGGGAGGCTGAGGCGAGCGGATCACCTAAGGTTGGGAGTTTGAGACCGGCCTCACCAACATGAAGAAACCCCGTCTCTACTAAAAATACAAAAAATTAGCCAGGCGTGGTGGTGCATGCCTGTAACCCCAGCTACTCAGGAGCCTGAGGCAGGAGAATTGCTTGAACCTGGGAGGTGGAGGTAGCAGTGAGCTGAAATTATGCCATTGCACTCCAGCCTGGGCAACAAGAGCGAAACTCCATCTCAAAAAAGGAAGAAAGGAAGAAAGGAAGAAAGGAAGAAAGGAAGAAAGGAAGAAAGGAAGAAGGAAGAAAGGAAGAAAGAAAGAAAGAAAGAAAGAAAGAAAGAAAGAAAGAAAGAAAGAAAGGAACATTGAGAAGGAGCCAGTGTACTTGATATTTGATGGTCACATAGGTGCCGTGAACTGTTGGCTTCCAGTTTCTTTGACATAAAAGTAATAAGCTTTCATCTTATTCACAGCACTGATCTGGGTTTTATGTCTTAGGAAACTAAACTCAATTCTGGCAGTGATTTCAGGAAGATTTTCCGAGATTTCTTTTGTAATATTATTGTGTTATAAGATATAATAAAGCACAGATATTAGTAATTCCAACCTCTAGAAGAATGTGATCTAACGCAGTCTGTGTTGATATCAATGTCACGGATTAACAACTGAAAAACAAATGGATACATTTAATGATCAAATAGATGATGACAAATACTTAATGCAACTGCAGTCAGAAGAGATTGAAGATGAAGGCAGCCAGGAGTCAAAAACTGTTTTATAATTCCAGGCATTCTAGAATGAGAAAAGAGAAGAGTTGCTCTGCTTGGTGTGAACTGCAGGGTTCCGTGTGGAGAGGGCAGGTGTGATATGGATTGCCTGTATTTCTAGAATTGCATGTTATTTCAGCTGTGGTTAGGATTTGAGTACAGAAAAGAAAGAATCATACTAATATCCACAAGGAATATATTTAGGCTGATATTTATTTAACATGAGTCCAATAGATGGAAGTGGTGAAAAATGGGCGTTTGCAGCCAAATGAACTGGATTCAAATCCCGGGCCTCATGTGTTAAGCTTGGGACCTTAAATGAGTTGCATTAAGTCTTCTGAGGCTCAGTTTCCTTTACTGGTACAATAGCAATAATAATTTCTGACCACTGCATTGATAAAAGAATAATGAAATAACATATGCAAATATATTAGTACAGTTCCTGGTATAAGTGGCAGTCCACACTTTCCTTCTTGCTTTCTTTCCTTCCATTCACCCATCGACAAATATTTAAGACATTCTTTTTTTGTTTTTGAAATGGAGTCTTGCTCTGTTTCCCAGGCTGGAGTGCAGTGGCGTGATCTCGGCTTACTACAACCTCTGCCTCCCAGGTTCAAACGATTCTCCTGCCTCAGCCTCCCAAGTAGCTAGGATTACAGGCGCCCGCCACCATGCCTGGCTAATTTCTGTATTTTTAGTAGAGATGGGGTTTCACCATGTTGGTCAGGTTGGCCTTGAACCCGTGACCTCATGATCCGCCCTCCTTAGCCTCCCAAAGTGCTTACACGTGTGAGCCACCGTGTCCGGCCAAGAAATTCTTATGATGTGCCATGTGCTGTGACTAATGGTGAGATGTAGTGTAAATGGAATTATTTGTGCCCTTAAGGAAACTTTGGAGTGATAGGAGTGTTTTACTAATTGTTTGGAATGGTAGTTGCATGACTGCTTACACTTAGCAAAACTCATCAAACTGAGTATTAAAATGAATAAATTTTGTTATATGCAAATTATATCTGAATAAAGCGATAAGAAAGTATTTGGGCCCATGTGGAGCTACCAGAATGGTGTAGAAAAAGAGACATTAAGCAAATCGTCGCATAACTATGAAGTATAGCTGTGAGAAAGATTAAGAAGGAAAAGGACGGACAACAAAGAATGCCTCAGAAAGGACCTATTCCTGGCTGGGAGAGGTGGAGGGCCAAGAACAGTTCCTTCTGGATGGGACATTCAACCTGATCATCATTATCGTCATCAAGTTTAATGACTTCTGAGATGTGCACTGGTGAATACTAATCAGGATGAAACACAGTCACACCTCTGAGCTGTATCCGTGCTAAACCCGTGAGGATGTTAGAACTGACCCACCTGCAGTAACAGAGTTTTCTTGCCTTGCAGTATCCTCAGACTGCTCTGATAGACAGCAATGTCCATAGCATCCATGCCACGTAATTTACTGATTGATATAATAATGTCTTCACTAGATTTATGGGCAAGACCTTTGTTCAGAAATAAATAAAGAAGATCAGACCAGAATTAAGTATCACCTATGATTTTTGCCTCTTTGGCATCTAATCAATTGAAATGAAAAATAACCCAGGCATCTTTCTAAGATCCCACAGTTTGATTTTTGATTTAATAAAAATCACATAAGTAACAAAGTCATCGATGTTGTAACTAGTTTCAGGCTATGTAATGGCAGTCACTCTGGGTGCAAATCAGTGGCTATGACTTCATTTCTGCAAGGTATTGTAGATACAAATGTGTGGTTAGCTACGAATGAAAGGAAAATGAAGGACTGCTTCAGCAGGAAAGCATTGCAAAATTAGATTTCATGTATAAGGACTACATTTTCAGATTAACCAGACAGGAAAAACCATGTTGGAAAAAAATGAAGTCTTATAATGTAAGATCTGGGAATTAAGAAATATTAAGTAAAGTAAGATTTAAAAAACAATATTTAAAGTAAGATTTAAAAAACAATATTTTTTTAAACAGGAAAAGAAAATGAGAATAGGAGGAATGGTAAAGGAGGAAATAGAAAGATTAAATAGTACCCTTTGTGAGAGACGTAGTGTGACAGATAACTTACCACAACAAATTTTAATTTGTATTTGTGAAACAGTATACTTTAAAAAGCATTTCAGGTCATGTGAGAGTACGGCTCTGAATTATAAACTTCAGTAACTCTTCCTATTTGCTGACAGATTATAACTAGTGAGATTTTTCCAAAATAATTAATTTATAATTACCTCCAAATAGTTTCTATAATTATTAAATAAATCTGACAGAGTCCAGGGCTAATACACGATGTAGAAAGACAGTAAAATGCTTTATGTGAGTCTAGAAGAAAATGCAAATAATAGTCTTCTTACTAGCGTTAGGATGCATTATCACTGTACCACAGTTTGTCACTTTTCATACTTAAAAATGAGTTAAATAAGGTATTAAGTTAAAATTAAAAATTCTAGTTCGACAAATGGGTGGGAAGAGCTTTACATGAAAAGCTTTATTCTTTTTTTAAAAAATAAATTTTGTTGTGCATGCTTAAGGCATACCACATGATATTATGGGATGCATATAGAGGTAGTAAAATGGTTACTATGGTGAAACAATTACCATAGCCATCACCTCATAGCTATCTGTGCCAGCTGATGGCAAGAGGAGAAAAGCAACTGTAATCTACTCAGCAAAAATTCTGAGTCTAATATGCTTTATTAACTCTGGTCCTTAAGTTATGCTGTACATTAGATCTTCCAACTTGTCCATTCTGCATATCTGCTACTTTGTATCCTTTCATCTACCTTTCTCCATTGCCTGAACCCCAACCACTGTTTTATTCTCTCAATCTGTATATTTGACCTTTTTTTCAGATTCCATATATAAGTGAGATCATGCAATATTTTTCTTTTTCTGTCTGGCTTATTTCACTTAGCATAATATCCTCCAGGTCTATTCAAATTACGGGTAAATGGCAGCATTTCCTTCTTTTTTTTTTTTTTTTGGAGGGTGGTGAATACAGAGGATTTTATTGTTGATGAAAGTGGCTTTCAGTGGGAAGGGGAGCTAGAAAGGGTATGGAGTGGGAAAGTGGTCATCCCCTGGACTCTGGGTGTCCCCGGCCAGGCTCTTCTCTGAAGTCCCACTGTCAAGCCATCCCTCTGAAGTCAAGCTGCTTCTCTGACATCTGGCTGCTTCTTCTCTTCTCTTCTCTTCTTTTCTGCCGTTCCTCTGCCAGTGGAGCCTGGGGTTTTTATGGGTACAGAATGGGCGGGCCAGGGGGCTTTGAGAAAAGGCAACATTTGAGCAGAAAAATGGGGATGTTATCACTTTGGGCCATGGTTCTAGGCTTGAGGGTGGGGCTTCACCAGGGGCCCCACCCTTTTCTGCCTAGAATTTATCTGCCTCCTGTCCCTATCAAAACCATAGTGTAAGGGAGCATATCAGTGGTTAATCTGAAGCCAGAAGTGTGGAGAGAGGCATTTCCTTCTTTTTAAGGCAGTGAGATGCTTATGTCTATCTAGCTGCTGCCAGCTCACAGTCTGTCTATTCCTTCATTGACAGATGCTTAGGTTGTCTTCATTCCTTGGCTATTGTGAATAATGCTGCAATGAACATGGGAGAGCAGAAGTCTTTATGAGGTGGTTACTTAATTTTCTTTAGGTATACACCCACACGAGGAATTGCTGGATCATATAGGAGTTTTGTTTTTAACTTCTTTAGGAATCTCCAAACTGTGGTCCATAATGGCTGCACCAATCCACATTCCCACCCACAGTGTACAAGCTCCCCCTTTCCACATTCTCATCAACACTTCTTATCTCTTGCCTTTTTGACGATAGCAATCCTAACAGATGTGAAGTATTATCTCACAGTAGTTTTGATTTGCATTTCCCTGATGACTAGTGACATTGGGCACCTTTTCATATACCTATTGGTCATTTATATGTCTTCTTTGGTAAAGTATCTATTCAGGTCTTTTACCCATTTTTCATTGAGTTATATATTCTCTTAGTTTTGAGTTGTAAGAGTTCTTTATAAATGTTGTGTGTTTACCCCTTATCAGATATTTTTTTCCAATCCATAGGTTACTTTTTCATTTTGTTAATTGTATCCTTTGTTATGCAGAATCTTTGTCGTTTGAAGCTCTGTTACTATTATACTTTGTTCTATGGTGTTTATGAACTAGGGCTTTGCAGAAATGGAAGAAGTGGTAAACCGGTGAAAAATGCTGTCCAAGCGTCAAAAGTCCTTTGAGCAAAATCAGGGGCTCTCCAGATTTCTAGACTTGCCTTTCTCTCTCTTTGCTCAAGAACTGTTTCTCTGGAACACTCTGTCCTCCTCAGCCCTGAAAACAAATATATACTAGTGTTCTTCAATACAGTTCTCCATGCTTATAGAATTATATACATATGTGCAAATAAAATATGTGTTCCTTTATATGACAAATTATATCATATAATATAAACGTAAATTATATGCATAAAAGTTTAACTTTTCTCTATTTCTCATCTCTCTACAGTATTTACTTTAGAGTTGTCCTTCAGACTTTAGAAAGACATCACAGGAATGCATATTTAACAGTTATTTAATAAAAAAGAAATTCAGTGGATTTTCAGATAAAAAGTAAATTTTATAATTAAATTATATGTTACAAATCAAGGGCCAATAGCAGCTGTGAATGCATATTACCTGTTTCACAAAAGAGTTATTTCTTGTGCTGAAAAGCTAGTCAAAGGTGAACATACCAATACGTAAGTTTGGACCTTATTATTAATTATTTGCTAATTAAGAATGAGATTTACAAACGCCTTTTGTTGAGAAAGAGATTTCTTCCAGGATCCTCAGTACCAGGGTTTATTGAAAAGTACTCTGTTGCACAGCAAGGTGTCTATAGTTAAGAATAATATATTGTATATTTCTGATCGGGTGTGGTGGCTCACACCTGTAATCCCAGCACTTTGGGAGGCAGAGGCAGGTGGATTGCTGGAGCTCAGGAGTTCAATACCAGCCTGGGCAACATGGTGAGACCTGCCCTGCAACTCCCATCTCTATTTAAGAGAGAGAGTAAGAACAGTAATATATTGCATATTTCAAAAAAAAAAAAGCTAAAAGAGGGGATTTTAAATGTTCTCATCTCAAGAAATAATAAATCTTTGAGGTGATGGATAGGCTAACTGAATCACTCCACAATATATACACATATATTGAAATATTGCATTGTAATTCATAAATATGTACAGTTATTATTTGTCAATTAAAAATAAAATAGAACTTAAAAAAGTTACAGTATTTAGCTTAAAAAATAAGTGATATAAATTATATGCTACATTGTGTATTAAATTAATCATAAATATTATATTTATTATATATAATGTATATTATATTATGCATTATATTATATATTATATGGCATATGTTAGTCAGCATGCAAAGAAATGGGTAATATCATGTAGTTTTCATGTACTTTGCTTTATTACTGTGGGAAATGGAGGGAAATCCCTTTACGTGGGCTGGGTAAGATCATACTCATCTTTTTTTTTTTTTGTTTTTGGAGTCTTGCTCAGTCGCCCAGGCTGGAGAGCAGTGGCCTGATCTGGGCTCACTGCAAGCTCCGCCCCCCAGGTTCAGGCAATTCTTCTGCCTCAGCCTCCCGAGTAGTTGGGATTACAGGCCCCGCCACCATGCTCAGCTAATTTTTGTATTTTTAGTAGAGACAGGGTTTCGTCATGTTGGTCAGGCTGGTCTTGAACCCCTGACCTCAGGTGATCCACCCACCTAGGCCTCCCAAAGTGCTAGGATTACAGGTGTGAGCCACCACGCCCGGGCCGTACTCATCTTTTATAGTGGCAGGATCCTTTCCTCCCCAAGCTATGCAGTGGTGAAATCCTAGTGAATTTTCTTGACATGGCAGTGATTTCAGTGTGAAATGAGCTGCCATTTCATATCTTCATGGTGTTGCTGGTTTTACTCAGGGCTCTTTGGTTACTCTGCAATTCCAATTATCTGATTCTGTTGAAATCCTGTGTGTTGCTGCCTCTGCCGCCCCTTCTTCCTCATTCTGCCCTGGGGAATATGTCAGATATTCAAGGCACACAGTACTGGCAAGACTCTCTTACTAAAAACCCATTTCCACCCCTACTCAAGTTTTAAGAGCAGAAACGAGGTGGCTACTATCCTCTGTTATCTTTCATTCTAAAGTAAAATAATTTCTGAAATTCCCAAATGCTGCAGGAGAAGTATTACAAGGAAACCGAGAAATCACGTTTGAGAGATACTGTAGACGATTTGCTTCAACTTTCACGGGTTACTTCTTCCCCCCTCCCTCTTCACAATCACTTTTCTTCCACTTCACAGTAAAAAAGTGTTCCTTTAACCCTTCCTGAAGACGACTAAGAAGCACTGCTCTATGGCCCAAAATCCTCATTAAAGGGATACTTAAAAAAAAAAAAAGTATCATTTATGGCAGAGAGAGCACTGCGAGAGCTTAGGTAGGAACTGCTGGAGGCAGCATCACCTGACGCCCACCAGGGGGCGAGCACGCTGCGGCGCCGGGGCCCCTCATCCATCCCGGGTATTGCTTTCCTTTTTCCTCCTTCTCATCTCTCTGTTAATACCTAGCCTAGAGTTAGAATGCAGGCTTGAAAAAAAGTCACGGGGATGCATTTGTTTATTTGTATAAATTACTAGGGATGTAAGTGCACCTTTGAGACGTGGCTAGACTGCTCGTGGTGAATGAGGGCGTTTAGGTAATCATCACCTGAAGAGTATGCACCACACTCGGCAATTTCCCATCCCTCACCCCTCCCACTCTTACACCCTTCCGAGGCTCCAGTGCCTATTATTCCACACTCTGTGTCCATGTGTACACA